TTCTGTTTTATGATATTTATTTTCGGGAAATTTGTTTATTCTTACTAACTTTGCGGAAAGTAGATATTTCTTTTTTTGTGATACAATTTCGTTTCTATGATATTTTTTCGGCAAATTTGTTTATTTAACCAATTCTTTTGAGAAAGTAGATATTTCTATTTTTTTGATACAAATTTCCTGTTTTTATGATAATCTATTTCGGAAATTTGTTTTTATGATTAATTTTTTCGGGAAGTAGATATTTCTATTTTTTATGATAAATTTCTTGTTTTATGATAATCTATTTTTGAAAGTTGTTTTTTTTTGGGAGTATATTTCATTTTTTGATACAAATTTCCTGTTTTATGATATCTATTTTCGGAAATTTGGTTATTTAACTAACTTTCATGAAAGTGATATTTCATTTTTTGTGATACAAATTTCTTTTTCTATGATATTCTATTTTCGGTAAATTATTATTTGAATCAACTTCCTGGAAAGTAGATATTTTCCATTTTTTGTGATACAAATTTCCAGTTTTCTATGATAATCTACTTCGCAAAATTAGGCAATATTTCAAAATTGAAAATCTATTCTGAAAAATCGATAATCTACTTTCCCGAAAGCAGAAAATTATCTACTTTTTTTGGAAAAGTAGATAACCAACTTTCCCGGAAAGTATATTTCTATTTTTTATGATACAAATTTCGTTTTCTATGATAATCTATTTTTGGAAAGGTTATCTAATCAACTTTCGCGGAAAGCGTAGATATTTCTATTTTTTATGATACAAATTTCCTGTTTTCTATGATACATCGGTTTCGGCAAATTTGCTATTCAACCAACTTTCCTGGAAAGTAGATATTTTCTATTTTTTATGATACAATTTCCCATTTCTATGATAATCTATTTCGGGCAAGTTGTTTATCTAACTAACTTTTCAAGTGAATGTAGATATTTCCCATTTTTTATGATAAATTTCTGTTTTCTATGATATTCCATTTCGGCAAATTTGGTTATCTAACCAACTTTCCCGGAAAGTAGATATTTCCCATTTTTAGATTCAAATTTCCTGTTTTCTATGATAATCTATTTTCGAAAAATTTGGTTATCTAACTTCTGGTCTCCTGCTTAAGATAATCTACTTCTGCAAAATTAGTAATATTTCCCCCAAAATTCGAAAAACGGCCTCTGAAAATCGATAATCTACTTTCCCGAAAAGAGAAATCGCATTTTTCGGGAGAGATAACCAACTTTCCTGGAAAGTAGATATTTCCCATTTTTTATATACAAATTTCCTGTTTTCTATGATAACTCTTTAGCTCGGAAAGTTGTTTATCTAACTAATCATGGAAAAGATATTTCTATTTTATATACAAATTTCTGTTTTGCGATAATCTATTTTCGGGAAAGTTGTTTATCTAACTACTTTCGCGAAAGTAGATATTTCCCATTTTTATGATACAAATTTCCTGTTTTCTATGATAATTATTTTCAAGAATTTATTATTCAACCTTTCCCGGAAAGTAGATATATTTCTATTTTTGAGTACAAATTTCCTGTTTTCTATGATAATCTATTTTCGGGAAAGTTGTTTATTCTAATACAATCCAACTTTCGCGGAAAGTAGATATTTCCATTTTTTATGATAGCCAAATTTCGTTTATGATATCTATTTTCGGGAAATTTGGTTATTAACCAATGCTTTGGTGTAGATATTTCTATTTTTATGATACAAATTTCTGTTTTCTATGATAATCTATTTCGAAATTTGTTTATTATTTCTGGGGTAGTAGATATTTCCATTTTTTTGATAAAATTTCTTTTAGTGATTTTCATTTTCGGAAATTTGTTAACACTTTCCTGGAAAGTAGATATTTTATTTTTTATGATACATTTCGTTTTTTATGATATTCTTAGTTGAAATTTATTATTTAACTAAATTCGGAAAGTATATATTTCATTTTTGTGATATCTAATTTCCCGTTTGTATGTAATCTATTTTCGGGAAGTTTATTTAACGAACTTTCCCGGAAAGTAGATATTTCATTTTATGATAAATTTGTTTTATGTTATCTATTTTCGCTTAGTTATATAATCAACTTTCCTGAAAGTAGATATTTCTTATTTTTATGATAAATTTGTTTCTATGTCTATTTTCGGGAAAGTTGTTTATTAACCAACTTTCGGGGAAAGTAGATATTTCCCATTTTTATGATACAAATTTCTGTTTTTATGATAATCTATTTCGAAATTTGATTATCTAACCAACTTTCCTGAAAAGTATATTTCATTTTTTATGATACAATTTCTGTTTCTATGATATTCATTTTGAAATTTGTTTATATAACTAACTTTCCGGAAAGTAGATATTTCATTTTTTATGATGCAAATTTTGTTTTCTATGATAATCTATTTTGGTAAATTTACATTATATAATCTACTTCCTTGTGCTATAGATATTTGATTTTTATGTATAAAATTTCTGTTTGTATCTATTTTCGGAAAGTTGTTTATTAACTAACTTTCGCGGTAAAGTAGATATTTCCCATTTTTATGATACAATTTCTGCTTATAGATAATCTATTTTGCAAATTTGGTTATTTAACCAAATTTCTGGAAAGATATATTTCATTTTTATGATACTAATTTCCTGTTTTATGATATATATTTTCGGAAATTTGGTTATTAACCAACTTTCCCGAAAAGTAGATATTTCCTATTTTTATGACAATTTCCCGTTTTCTATGATAATCTATTCTGCAAAATTAGGTAATATTTCAAAATTCAAAAAATCTATTCTCCGAAAAATCGATAATCTACTTTCCTTAAAAGTAGAAAATTATCTGTTTTTCGAGGAAAGTAGATAACTCAACTTCCCGGAAAGTAGATATTTCCATTTTTATGATACAAATTTCCTGTTTCTATGATAATCTATTTTCAGAAAGTAGTTATAAATCAATTTCTGGAAAGTAGTATTTCATTTTTTTTTTTTATGATATTATTTCGCAAATTCGTTATCTACTTTCCCGAAAGTAGATATCTATTTTATGCGATAAAAGTGATAATTTATTTTCGGTAAATTTGCTATTAACCAACTTTCCCGGTAGATATTTCCCATTTTTGTGATACAAATTTCCTGTTTTCTATGATAATCTACTTCCAAAATTTGTAATATTTCCGCAATTCGAAAAATCTATTCCCCTGAAAAGTCGATAATCTACTTTCCCGAAAAGTAGAAAATTCATCTACTTTTCGAAAGTAGATAACCAACTTTCCCGGAAAGTAGATATTTCATTTTTATGATACAAATTTCGTTTTCTATGATAATCTACTTTCGTTCAATAATTTGAAAGTAGATATTTCCTTGTACAAATTTCTGTTTTAGATATTATTTTCGGGAATGTATCTACCTTTCCCGGAAAAGAGATATTTCTATTTTTCGATAAATTTGTTTTTAAGATATTCTTTTTTTGGGAAGTTGATTAACCAACTTTCCCGGAAAGTAGATATTTCCCATTTTTTACGATACAAATTTCGTTTTATGATATCTTATTTTCGCAAATTGGTTATATAACCAAATTTCCGAAAGTAGTATTTCCCCATTTTTATGATCAAATTTCCTGTTTTCTATGATAATTCATTTTCGAAAAGTAGTTATTCAACTTCCTCGGTGAAAGTAGATATTTCCATTTTTTATGATACAAATTTCCTGTTTTCTATGATATTATTTTCGGCAAATTTGGTTATCTGACCAAATTTCCTGGAAAGTCGATATCATACTTTTACAGATATAAAATTCTTTCTATGTCTTTTCGAAAATTTGGTATAACCAACTTTCCCGAAAGTAGATATTTCCCATTTTTATGATACAAATTTCCTGTTTTTTATGATAATCTCTTGGCAAAATTAGGTAATATTTCTCCTAATTCGAAAATCTACTCCGAAAAATGATATCATTTTCCCGAAAAGTAGAAAATCTATCTACTTTTCGAGAAAGTAGATAACAACTTTCCCGGAAAGTAGATATTTCCCATTTTTTATGATACAAATTTCCCGTTTTCTATGATAATCTACTTCGCAAAATTAGGTAATATTTCCCCAAAATTCGAAAATCTACTTCCCCGAAAAGTCGATAATCTACTTTCCCGAAAAGTAGAAAATCTATCTACTTTTCGGGAAAGTAGATAACCAACTTTCCCGGAAAGTAGATATTTCCCATTTTTTATGATACAAATTTCCCGTTTTCTATGATAATCTAGATAACCAACTTTCCCGGAAAGTAGATATTTCCCATTTTTTATGATACAAATTTCCCGTTTTCTATGATAATCTACTTCAGAAAATTTGGTAAATATTTCCCCAAAATTCGATAATCTACTTTCCCAAAAAGTCGGTAATCTACTTTCCTGAAAAGTAGATAATCTACTTTTCGGGAAAGTAGATAACCAACTTTCCCAGAAAGTAGATATTTCCCATTTTCTGTAATACAAATTTCCCGTTTTCTATAATTATGGGGGTAAGGAATGAAGGGAACAACCAGTGCAATTCATTTATTAAAGTTCCAGGGAATTTGCAACACATCATATATGATCCATTTTTTACAAAGTACAGAACCTGTATACTGTATATAAAGTTGTCCAATATATATGAAAATCTTTTCAGGCACATATCTCCATTAATATAGTAAATGTCTAAGGCACATATCTCCATTAATATAGTAAATGTCTAAGGCACATATCTCCATTAATATAGTAAATGTCTAAGGCACATAACTCCATTAATATAGTAAATGTCTAAGGCACATAACTCCATTAATATAGTAAATGTCTAAGGTACATATCTCCATTAATATAGTAAATGTCTAAGGCACATAACTCCATTAATATAGTAAATGTCTAAGGCACATAACTCCATTAATATAGTAAATGTCTAAGGCACATAATTCCATTAATATAGTAAATGTCTAAAGCACATAACTCCATTAATATAGTAAATGTCTAAGGCACATATCTCCATATCTCCATTAATATAGTAAATGTCTAAGGCACATAACTCCATTAATATAGTAAATGTCTAAGGCACATAACTCCATTAATATAGTAAATGTCTAGTTCCAAGTTTAATCAAATAAACTTTTGGCATTCTAATTATTTAAAACATTTACTTTGTTATAATAATCTAACCTAAAGCGAGGCTGAAATAACTATACATTTTATGTAAGGATAAAACGTCTTCTTGTGTCCATCCTATTCCTCATCTTCTTTACTCAATGGTGCAAGTTAAAGCACCATTAATTACTGACCAAGCTTCTCCTGAGCACGAAGCTGAGGGACAAACACATCCTCCTGTTGACCTTCAGCCATAAGTTCTTCAATCTCCTCCACACTGTACAGGGGAAAAATTAAAATTAGCTGCTTCTATAGTATACCTCAACATCAATCCAATCTTTCCCATGACATGAAGGTGCAGGGTTGGAAGTGGAGGGTGTTGACATGTAGAGGGATGGAAGTGGAGGTGGAGGGGCGTGGATGTGGAGGGGCGTGGATGTTGTGGGGTGTGGAGGGAAAGGAACATAGACCAAGGTGACAGCAAACAAGATTTGCGCTCCACTACTGATCAGCCTAACAACATTCCATATACCGTGTATATCTCGTATATCTCGGCCTACAAGGCGATGGATGTATAAGACGACCCCAAAAATTTCCATTTAAAAAGTAGATTTTGAGCTCTATTCCCTGTATAAGACCGGTACCCCAAATGTAACACTTACCATTGGGAGCTTACTGACCCAGTAGTCCTTTACCAACCATCCCATTGACCAGTGCTGTTTACACATCCTTGGTTTTTTAAAATAAGGCCAATTCACTTCAAGTAATGGCATCAAATGTTACTGGTTGGTGTAGTGTAAACACTAGTGACATCACTTAAGCGTCTCTTATTTAACTGGAACTAATGTCGGTGTCGAGTAAAATTTTTCCATTTGCAGGTACTTGAAATGGATTTACTGATTTATTTTTTATTTATTTATTTATAATATACTGTAATATATTAAACACACTGCAAGTATTTTCTTTAATTTATATACTTGTTTCGCAAAAAAGGGGGGCTACCATTATACCTGGTAGGTGAAGTTGACCTGACATTTATGGTGATCATTAAAGATCAAACTCCGAATCCGAAGACGTGATTTCGTGTTTATCCTAAATTTACGACTGTCGGTAGTTTCAAGAATTAACGTAGTCATTTACTGAATATTCTTTGTAAAGAAATAAATTTTAAATGAATTATTTATAGAAGATAAGTATTATGATCAGTAAATATAGATATGCATTACTGACCACCTCGAACACAAAGACTGCTAATAATAGCCACAACGGTCACAGTCACGGTCACTTTCCCTTTCTTGTCTCATCACTGGCAAATGGCAGGGGGGGGGGGGTGTTGAAGATAGCTAGATAGCTGTGTTATTACCGGGGTATATTGTTCTTTTACTGTATGTTAGACAGGTTTATAAATACATTTTTATTATTTTAATATACCGGTAATCTTAATTTTAATCCAGCTTCCCAAACGTAAGTTTCAGTATAAAATAATTAGTGGTAGGACCTTGTGAGTGGTTTACGATGTTTCCATCACCACTCTTGACACGCTAAACCACAATATTTAAGAGGTAAGAATTTTATACCTGGTGCTTAAGACGACCTCTAATTTTGGGCTGATTTTTTTAAGGTTAAAATTCCGTCTTATAGGACGAGATATACGGTACTTGTTTCGCGAAAAAGGGAGGCTACCATTATACCTGGTAGATAAAGTTGACCAGACATTTATGGTGATCATTAAGGACCAAGCTTCGAATCCATGACGTGACTTCGTGTTCATCATTCTCATGCTAAATTTACCACTGTCGGTAGTTTCAAGAATTAACGCAGTCATTTACTGAATATTCTTTGTAAAAAAATAAATTTTAAATGAATTATTTATAGGAGATAAGTATTATGATCAGTATATATACAGATATGCATTACTGACCACCTCGAACAAACACAAAGACGGCTAAAAATAGCCACAGGCGGTCACAGTCAAGATCACTTTCCCTTTCTTGTTTCGTCACTGGCAAATGGGGGTGGGGGTGGGAGTGGGGAGGTGGGTGATGATAGCTGTGTTTATTACCGGGGTATACTGTTCTTTTACGGTATGTTAGACAGGTTTATAATACATTTTTATCATTTTAATATACCGGTAATCTTAATTTTAATCCAGCTTCCCAAACGTAAGTTTCAGTATAAAATAATTAGTGGTAGGACCTTGTGAGTGGTTTACGATGTTTCCATCACCACTCTTGACACGCTAAACCACAATATTTAAGAGGTAAGAATTTTATATCTGGTGCTTAAGACAACCCCCTAACTTTGGGCTGATTTTCTTAAGGTTCAAATTCCGTCTTATAGGCCGAGATATACGGTAAACTTCTTGATATTTACTAAAATAGTAAGGAATTTAAGCCCTAGAACCGATTACTGTATTGGCGGACTAATACTACAGCTGGTAGACAGCCAAATGCAAGCGAAAACATGTTGAGGTCAGCTCGTAAGAAACTCGTTAATTGAGGGATTGCTCGTTAACCGAAGTTAAGAATCTTAAGGTAACTCGTTAACCGAAATCTCGTTAACCGAGGGATCACTGTACTGTACATTATGTTATGTTGTATTACATTTGGTATGTTATGTTACATTAGGACAGGTATGTTATATTACTTTTTATGTGATGTTGCATTACTTTGGTACATTACTTTAGGTACAGTCACAATCCAAAGTTTCGACACCCCCCTGGCTGGGTGTTCGCGGAGGCCAGGGTTGAGGTAAGGCTGGGTGATGGGACGCAGACATTCCACCACCACAACACTCCGAGACTCACAGCACACGAGCATGGAAGGAAATTTTACGAATTTTGACATGACATGCACCTGCATAGCAAAATTTCATTCATAACATTGTTGGCACACATAACAATAGCAAGTTAGGAGTGAGGCATGTATAGGCCTCGCCTTCTCAACCGACTGCTCACTCCCTCTTGACGAAATTCCGCCGCCAGCCACCCATTATTTATGCAGCCCTGATGATTCATGTGTAATACAAGGATTCGCATCAAGTGGTTCCAAGCCAGTGTTTTGGGACACGGCAAAGTTTTTCATGCTCCTATCTTAACATGTTATTGTTATGTGTGGCAACAATGTTATGAACGCATTTGTTATGCAAGTTCATGCCATGTCAAAGTTCGTAATAAGTTCCTTCCTATGCTCGTGTGCTGTGAGTCTCAGAGTGTTGTGGTGGTGGAATGTGAACCTCACCATCGTAGTGCCTCGTTACCACATTGCTGAACTAGTCTGTGTCCGATCACCCAGCCTTACCTCAACCCTGGCCTCGGCGAACCCCCAGCCAGGGGGGTGTCGAAACTTTGCATTGTGACTGTACATCATATGCAAAACTTTCATTTTATTGTAAATGCTTCAGGTATGCAAATGAAGATGAAACTAAACTAATCTACATAACATTACTGAACACAGATAATGTTTTAATTTCTCTTGCGATTGATGTTTTACTCTTTTTGGCTTTTTTATGTAAAAACATCAAACGAGTGAAAATAAATACATTCTACATTACAAGTCGTGAGTTATCTGTGTTCAGTAATGCTATGTAGATTAGCGTAGTTTCATCTTCAGTATACAGTGAGTTCTGCTATAACGCGTGTTTTGACAACGCGAATTTGCTCGAACGCGATTTATGAATTGAGGAACGATATTTGTAAAACGCGAACTCGTTTGCTCTAACGCGATTCCACTCGAACGGTTGTTGTGGCTTCAGTTCACGTTCGACATCACATGTTCAATTGAGTTATGTGTTTTGTTTGTGAAGAATTGCAGAAATAATTTATGTAATATTTATGTATACAGTATACCTGTACAGTATATGTAAAATGTAAAATTTTAAATAAGAGAAAAACAAAATACATAACGTTTTATACCCGCGCGCTCGGTTTACTCCACACTTTGTTTGAAACACGTGTGAAGTTTTTAAGTGTCCTCAGTGAATTCTGATTACTGTTTCTCCAATTTTGTGACTATGGAAAAGAAGAATATCTCTGGGAAGCACTCTGGTGATCGCATTTCCGGTGGTGATCGTAAAAGAAAGGCTATAACACTTGAAGAAAAGCTTGATGTTTCATGACTCCTGAGCCTCATCATCACCCTTCTCCCCCATCAAGTTATATTCATATTTTTTCAAGGTAAAGTGTAACATTTACTGTATGATTTCATTATTAGATATGAATGTAACATTTATTTAGACTGTGCTATCCTTTGTGTTAGGCTAACTACGAATTTTTTTTTCGATTTGGAGTAATCTGCACCTAACCCTATTTTCTCCATAAGCCCTGTTATTTCTATTACACGAATTTCTATAACACGATGTTTTACAAGAACACTACTATCGTGTTATAGCAGAACTACCTGTATATTCCAATTATTAGTAATTACTGTATTATATCCTTACAACTTCCTTGAAACCAATGTTACAATTATTCTCTGTGTTCTAGCTAAAGTCACCTGAGGCACCCCATTGATGGATCACAAGAGCAGTCTAACCCAGTGGTGGAACTAAAGCATTTCTTTACAATGATTGATTTAGACAAACTTAGATTATGCTGTTGGAATTTTGATGGACTAAGTTAACAAAATCAATCCTCGACTACAACTTAGTCATAATGTCCATATAATTAAGTGTATAAACTACAAGTCCATTTTTATATTCACTCTAATGTATATTAATAAAACCTTTCTCTCACTCCTTACCACCTCACCCAAGTCAAGTCCTTAGCACCTCACCCCAGACAAGACCTTAGCACCTCACTTCACACCAGTCAAGTCCTTATCACCTTACCTGGAGTAAATTTTAGGTTAAGGTGCACGACATCTAACAAACTTGTGTTGCATCAGACTTAAACTTGAACCTAAATTTTTTTATAATCAGCACCAAATTCCTACTGTTCCAGCAAGTCAGTTTATTGTTGATAATAATTATTATTTTGTTAGATACCTGATAAAATACTTTCAATTATCATTGTAACTATGTTGTATCTCCTTTATTATTTTGCTGATACAGATGTTATACAATGATTGATATACAGTACAATAGATCAGCTTTGCGATGTTAAGAAATTAATACCACCATGCGATGGCTAAGATAAGATTTATGATGGTCACTACCCAATGGCTAAGATTAGATTTACGATGGTCGCTACCCGATTGCCTCCAATGTTTGTTTACAGAATTTGCACTGGTCAGATATCACTTGTTTTTCCCACAATAACTTTGGCAATCCCCCACCTGCCACTTATAGTGGCAGCTGGGGGATCGCAACATCCTACATATCATCTCAATGACAGTCAAGTCAGGTAAATGAAAGTAAATCATTATGTTGCATGATTTTGTTATTTTTATGTCTTTATTTATTAATTATTTGAGTTATTCAGACATTACAGTAGCAGGATATACATATTTTTGTAATGCACAAAATGATTACAAATGTATTTAGGTTTCAATTGTAAATGATTAGGCTATGTAACAAGACTGTATCCAACATTATCCAGATGTCTGTGGGTCAGTCTTTCTGACTGTTTTTAGTTAAGAACAAACTTCCGTTTGGATGAAACTTGGCAGGAATGTTTTTCTTGGTAAGATTTTGATTGACATTGTATTTCAGTGGTGATCAGAAATTTTCAAAATTTCATAGTTGCAGGAACACACACACAAAAAGAAAACCTTTGTTTCATCTTCTCCCCATCTAAAATCTTTATCCATTAATAACAACAGAAAAGTGTATACAGTACACCATAACAAATTTGTTACAATTCAACAAACCCCAAACCGCTATGGACTTGGCTTATATCCATGAAAGTAACAGAATAAAATATGGATCCAGTGTATGCCACTAAAAAAGTTTCAGCATACACCTTCATAGCTCAATGTTACTCTGAGAATATGAAAATTAGCCATAGCTAATGAATATTTAATGTTATGGAAATAATTCAAACAAAAAGTATAACCATAATATACCAATACTAAGTTACTTATAACATTCAAAGCAAGTGATAACAGCATTAATTGTACCTAGTTACCTTTGAGAGCTGTAAGGATTAGATCTACAGAGGGTCTATCATTTGGCACTTTGCTTCTGTAAACAAACTGAAGTTTGGACTGTTTATCCAGTATGAAATCTCCTCCCATCTGATGTGGATCATCCTCAATGTCTGTATATGACTCCGGAAGAGGAATGCCCTTGGCTATCTGAGCGCCATAGTAACTCAATGTCGCTGTATTCCAAACAGAAGCAACAGACCTGTTGAAGTAATTAATACTGTACTGGGAATCTACAGAATGTCAACAGATTACAATAACTAGCCCAGATTCCCCATGGAATCAATGGGGGGTAGCTAAAAGGAGCAAAATTTTCCTAATGGCAAGATGTTATCAAGAATGGCTTACTTGATTTACAGTACAGTACTGTACTCAGGCTTGAATTATATGCAGAACCAAAAAAAATTTTTTTTTTTAATTTATTAGTTTTTATTACAAAAAACTTACTCCATATAAATATCAACACCATCTCTGAAACATTTATTATTTCTAACCTAAAGTATTATGACAAATATAATAATCTTGGTAGCCATGGTACCATACTCTATTTTTTTCTATAAAGCATTAAATTCAGTACAGTATTCACAAATTCACAATTCGCGATGATTTCCAGGAATATAACCCTCGTGAATACAGTTAATGCAAGTTTTTTTTTTTTTTTTACATCACAAACAGGGAAGTGGTATTACTATATCAGCATCGTTAACGTGAATTATCATAGATTCAGATATCATAAATAGTGGTTTACCCATATATTTGTTATTAGTGGGAAGACAACTACTGTTTTTGATAAGAAAAACAAATACTGTACTGTACTACAACTTCATCCATACAAACCTCTTGAGGCCAAGTAGCTGGTACAGAGCATGGGAAGGATCAGTGTAATATGGGAAAGGGCAAGCTGTCTCCAGTCGCCACCTTTCAGCACCGGACATTACCCCAAATGTAACCACAACCACATGACACCCAGCAGCAGCAAGTTCACTCTGTAAATATCAAATTTTTCATGTGACATTAATATAAAAGTGCACTAAATAGTCTTAGATTACAATCTTAATTTATATACAGTACAGTGTATGAATTTCTTAATACTGTATGAGGGATAACTATCTGGGTATTATATATATATATATATATATATATATATATATATATATATATATATATATATATATATATATATATATATATATATATATATATATATATATATATATATATATATATATATATATATATATATATATATATATATATATATGAGGTTAAAAAAAAACATTCGTTAGGTGAATTATAAATCACAAATAGATAAACATATGGGAAAAATAGGGTTTGATTCTCCAATGACAAAAATACCCCAATATTATACCCCCAAAACACGAAATTGGTTCACAAACAAGAACAAAACTTACCTAATTATAAATGGTACACAACTACCCCTGTTCTCTAATTTACTACCTAACATATGAAAAAAATATAATAAAATGCTGTTTAACTTTGCTACATTACTTTATGGGAGGACAGTCTGCACACCTATCCCAAGATGCCGTGCCAGCTGACTCCCGGAGCGCATGTTTCAGAAAAACCGAATTCTTTAACAATTACAGGTATTCCACTATATATAAACGATGTGGCTTAGAAATAAAGATAAAACTATAAAATAAGAAAAATGAAGAGCATGGGTGTGTTATGTATGAGAAGTGAATGTGTGTGTAGGTGTATGGGCTATAACTACGTCTCTGACTGGCCCTGTCTAGCCACTGCATTTATTGTCGCTTGTAATGAAACTATAAAAGTACTGTACACATAGTTGAAAAATCATAAAGGAAGAATAATCGATTGAAATATTCTGAAATATAAGTCCATTTTCAGCACTGTACATTTGAAAGTGTTACTCACAACTCATTACTACATACATCATCTTGTATGAAGTTTAACTTGAATGAGCAGAAAATTAGTATAGAATGAGGAATAAAATAGAAAAAATAATATATATTTTATGGCATACAAGATGCGCTTTTTGTCTGAAAAATGGCTAAAAAAAATCAGCCTGTGCCCTATACAGTATGAGAAGTTGAGGTCTCCTGTAAGCTAATGAATCCCCTAGTTGCTGTCTCCAGTTGGCTAAATTCTACCTAACCCAACTCCAGAATTAAAAATATGTTATTGCTTACTTAAACACATTATTATCATATTTAATTAATAAAAAATTAATTATTGTAAAAATAAAAACTTGATTTATAAGTACAGGTAATGCACTGACGATGGTAACCTGAGACAATTAACATCCATAAGGCAGATACCCAACTCTTCAGAGGTAGCTACTGTAAGCAGTAACCATTTTCTTAACTCTTACAAGCATTACAATCTATTAATGCCATACAGTAAACCCTCAATAACTCTGCACATATGGGGGCTCTGGCCTTGCGAAGTTATCCCAAATTCCGACTTAACAAAGCACTTTCCCCCTCCTACAAAAATACAACAATAAAAAATTATCAGCCCATATACGTGTATAAGTAATTACTAAATGTAAATAAGTAACACTTACCAGCACTGCAGGTGAAGAATGAAGCATCACAGTAGGTGACACAGATGCATGGTGGGTAACCTAGAGGCATGGTAGGTGACACAGAGGTATGATAGGTGACACAGGTGGCCAGATATGCCAAAATTTTCCCAGATAATTTTATAAATCTTAGCATTTCCTGAGTTCACATATTTGTGCCGAGTTACAGTATATGAAATTCCGAGTTATCAACTGCCGAGTTATCGAGGGTTTACTGTACCTGCAACATTTATTTTTAAATCTACAAATACCTGATACAAATGAAGATTTACAGATAACTTTCTTTTCACATTTGCATCTGTTAACATCGCTGGTGGCAATGTAGCCAGATTAGCCTCATCTCTGTAACCACCAGGCTACTGGGCCAAGTTGTGAGGTGTTATGGTTGTTGTTTTTCTTCTCTTTTTTTTCAGGTAGATATACGTAACTTTCTAAATTTACTTTTACTCAGGTCCATGCACACACCATCCAACTTACATATTGTGAAAAAAGTAAAAGAAATAATTGTCCTTAGGGCAAATGTATAAAGGGAATATACATTTCATTGCACATGAGTTAGCTGGCTCAGTTGGAGGAGGCGAGGTGTGTGTGGGGAAGCGTTGCTAGGGAATCAGTGGAGGTAGCATCTCCATTGCTATGATGAACCAGGAAGTATATGTGAATGGCAACTCCGTTAAACTTTCATTTGGCTTTTATTTACTGGTTTGGGAATACAGTATGGTCGGGATATATAGCTTTGTCAACAGTACAGTATAAGTAATTATTTCACCTGTCTTTCTGCTAGCTGGGTGATGTGGGTGCGTCATGGGAGTCAGGCGAAGTGTCTGTTGAGAATGAGTAGAGTCACATTTTTTGGTGTAGACACCAAAATATCTGCTAAGCTGATTGTTCTTGATGTCTTCCCACTTGGGACAGCATCCATAGTAGCACTGGTCTCATGCGAGGCAGTAGAGCCGTCATTAGTGTTTGAAAATTTATTGCTTATGACACAGTTAAGGACAAGATCAGTGGGTATCTTGTCACCAACTTGGGGTGGTGAAACTTCCAATTTGCCAGCTTCTTTAGCTTCAACTGTGCTGAGGAATTCATTCCAGTCATCCTGTTATATTGAAAAGAAACTTTTAGTGCCAGTAACTTTACTGGAAGATGCTAACAGCTCATGATATTCAATTTTAAAAATTTTAAGCAAAAGATAAAAATAGTACTTCTGTAATGAAAATAAAAAAGGTCAAAAGTAGTATATACTGTACAGTGCAGTATTTGAAAAATTAACTTAATTGCATGACATAATTACTCCCTTCACAAATTTATACAGAGTACTTGCTGACACTGTATCTACCACACTAGCTGTACTGTACTGTTGTCCAAGGGAAAAAGGGGTGAAGCCCGGGAGTATACAGAGGTTTTGAACAAAATTTAAATTCTGACAAATTTCCTGAATGTCTCAAAATTGCAATTCAACATGTTTAAATAGCTTAGTGTGGTGACGGCACCGAGTGTGAGCTCTTTCAAGACAAGACTTGACCAACACTGGAGAGGGTTCAGGTACATTCAGGAGCCAGTGCATGCCCAGTATTTGCCAACAGTGCGTGACAGAGACGTGACCGATCGCCCAGGCGGCTAGCAAGCCGATCTTTTGGTGAAGAATATAAATGAAAAGAGAAGTGACCGATCGCCCAAGCGGCTAACAAGCCGATCAGTGGCGAAGAGGATAAAAAAAAAATAAATAAAATAAAAAAATAAAAAATCCAGAAGAACCTCCCCCCTCCCAAGAGAAAACTTCATCTTACACTTTACAGGAAAAAAGTATTTAGTATTCACTTAGTGTTCAAATTTCACACAAAGGTACTCTTGAACAAGATTATCAAGGTTGAAATTTTATGAATTATATTTTTAATAGTCCTTAAAATAAGGTACAGAATTTAGATTTTTTATAATTATTAAAAATTGCCCAGTATAATGTGTTTATTTATTAAAATTTTTCCTTAGCTGTAAAAGTTGCTTTCCCCATCAAAAATAAATGAGCCCACCCATTTTTCCTAATAGGTACTCTTGAATATACTGAATGAAGGTGTGAGGTCAACAGAAAGGTGTAATTTTGCTTTGGTTGTGGTATGAACATAAAATAATTCGTCAATTTTCGGACACTACTGTACGGTACACACAGTATACTTGCAATACCTGTATAAATGTTTTCAAAGAAACTTTTTGGCATTTTTTATAATTCTATTTTTTACAAAATACTACAGTTTGGAACCTTGACTTTCAATTCCAAACAAAATGTGTTTTTGCAGGAAAAGATGCATTTTTTATAATACGTACTGTAGTGTGTTTTTACTTGGTAAAATTTGGTTCCCATAGTACTGACCTCCCGGTAACACTCAACAACCTCCCCCATTCACGTCAAGCCACTGTATGCAGAACGTCTTCACTTTCATGCCAAACCCAATGTCGTAACTTTTATCCAAATTCCACCAGTAGTTTTGTACAGAACAGTAGACCCTTCCCATTCGGATTTTCGGATTTTCCAGATTCTCAGGCAGTATTGTTAAAATTCAAATTTAAGGAGGAATAAAGAAGAGATGAACAGGTATATTTTGAAAGTTTATTCATTAGCAAATATAGCAGGCTTCATTTATCAAAACGAGCAGTTTTAAAGAAAAAGCTGTGAATTCTAGAATTTTATTCTTTGCCTTTTTTATATCATAAATTGTAGACTTTCCAATGTCGTATGTTTCCATTAGAACAGTATTGCTCACACCACGTTCTAGTTTCTTAATTATTTCAAGTTTGTTACTCAATTTCAACCTGTTCTTTCTCTTCACACAATGAAGTTTATCTACTTTAGGAGCTATTATTATGGGCTTGTACAGTACTCTGTAAATAGAAAGAGTAGGACTCAAAATTACATACGTTGTCACAGTTTGATTGCTTGTTTTAAAGTGGCAACCGCGTGGTCGCTTGTTGTAGCTGTGGCGCTCACGCATGCGCACATACACACAAAAGCCAGCTAAATAAAAAAAAAAAAATAGTGAGTTTTTGAAAAGTCCGGATTCTCGGGTGGTCCGGATTTCTGGCATCCGGATTTTTGGACTTTTTCTGTAACACAGCCCAGCACTGCCTCTGCCTACTCCCTTGGAATGGGGCCTCCTCACTCCTCCCTTTATGTTTTTGACCTTACGATAATTATTTTTTCAATTTATTTTTCCTTTTTTTTTGGGGGGGGGGGGCACATTCTGTATGTAAGTTCGTGTGTGCATGTAACTGAGTAACAAATAATAAAGAAAGTTATGTATACCTAACCAAAATTATGAGGACCTGACTGGTAAAGTTAGCTTACTGTGAGCATGTACTGTACCAGGTAGCTATTCTTCACCATGGTGTACCCATGGAAATGCATGAATTTTAACCCCTCAAAAACATTACCATAACCCCTTAGTTTTGCATAAAAATTTGATCATTAAAACTCATAACTATATTCATCTATATATGGTAATCTATCAGGTGTTCAAATAGACAACAATTGTTCAAACACTATTCCAAGAAAAAATGTGTATTACTGTACCTCAATTTCCAATAAATCCAATGCAGCTTCCTTCACAACATTGTGGCTCTTACTAATAGCAATATCCAGGGCTTCTCTGTCCTGGAGTCCACTTCTGCAACAGTACAATATGTCTGTATATTAGCAATTTAAAAAAATTCTTATCATCTGTACTGTATTCAGTTTCAAAAGAAATTATCCTACCCTATGTAAAACCAAAGAGTCTCTTAAATTCTTAAGCTCAATTACAGATACGGTAAATAAATTACATGCATGTACAAGTACCATACTTCACATTGCAAATGCAAAGAGATGGTTATTTCATGCAGTCTTTTATAAAATTCCCCTTACACCAGATAATTTATACAGTATTACATTTGCCTTTATTAGTCTCTCTCTCACGAACCTTTTGTAGAGATGGCCATAAACTCCAAGTCCTTGACACAAAACTCCTATACCTTGATCAACAAAGTGGCTGCCCAGTTCTGTTGGAGAGAACAGTGAATCATGAATATACAGCCAAATTTAAAAAATTCAAACAGGCTATCACGAATTTGGTTGAGATTTTTTTTTTTTTTAATCATTTATGCACAAAGGGCAGCAAATTTTTCAGAAGACATGAGCCCAAGCACAATCGAGAATTTCATCTAGTCAGGAAGCATGTGTTTTCCCACTATTATGTCCAAAGGGTGGCAAACTTGAGGGAGCAACAACAGAACCTGATGTAACACCCACTGTTACACTGATCATAGTGCTTGATGGACAGACTGCCAGGCCTTTCCTTATTCCAGCAATGGATTTAGGGAGAAAAGTGGCAGGACATATTCTCTTTCTGTAGCACAAGAAGGAAGGTACAGTATAGGTTTATCATCAGAGACAACAAGACCACAGACAGTGTTAGTGAAAGCCAATACAGGTTGTACCTCTCTAGTCCGGCATTCTGTGGTCCGGAAACTCCCAAGGTCCGGAACGATTTTAGTTTGCCCATGGAGAAAATTAATTTGAGTCTGGTACTTTCGATGTTTGTCTAAATTTGGCCTTCTTTACCCTACTTTTTTGGCGAATTGCTACCTGTAATAAAGCAACATCCTAATAAACCAACAAAAATAACACAGATAAAGTTAAATAAAAACTAAAAACAACACAGAAAAGTTCTTATGTTCTACAGCTTTAGCTAGAGTTGAACCTGAGGCTTGTCAACTTCGTCATCCGAGTGAAAACACACACAACAATATTGGCTGTCTTTATGTTTTCAGCTTTACCACCACTGATGGGTAGAATTTTTGTTTTAAATTCAGAAACATTAATTAAAATATACTGAACAGTAAATAAGTGTTGCTTTCATATCCTTATGTAGAGTAATGACGATATGTTTACACATGTGCTCACTTACATACGTGATCTCACTTTTTTCTTTACCATTAATGGTTAGCTACTTCCAATGTTCCATTTATTAACATTAAATAACAGTACTTAAAACAACCATATTAATTTTACTACAGCTACAACCAGGGTCTTATTTTCTTCAGTTTTATATGTAGAACCAATCAGTCACTGGTTTTGTAAACATTAATGAAAACAATACCGTCTCGTCTCCTCGTGTGTTTTAATATTCTACGTATTATTAATGAATTGTATTGTTCATTTTGCGCACATAAACATTAATTCAATCAAACAGACATTCAGTAATAAACAATAATGAATGTTTTATACATCGAGAAATGATGCTGTTTACACAATTGTGCATGTATGAACGTTGGCGGGCCGCTCAAACCCATCGAAATTCGAGTTTTCGCCGTCGAAATTTTAAATTGTGCAGTGTTTTTTTTGTGTCCAAATAAAAAACGTCGAATTAAAAACTCGCGAAATTTGAGAACCTACTGTACAACATTTAACCCTTCAATATATCTTCAAAGAGACCACGAAGCTGTGAAAGTGGTGCTAGTGCTCCAAGTGTATGCACAAGTCACTATCTATCCAGGAAAAGAGTGAATTTCCATGGTCCGGCACCGGTCAGGTCCCGAGGTTGCCGGACTAGAGAGGTACAACCTGTACTACACTGTAGATTTAGTTTGGGTTTTTTACGTCTAACTTAGGAAATCCACATCGAAACTTGAGTCAAAAAGTGGTCAAAATGATAGGCGACACAAACTATAGGCACTCAAGAGTTGCAGCCAGAACACAACATAAATGTAATTCGATCTCATTTTCTATTTATCCCTCTAATTCCAGAAGGTATATTACCTACAACCTGACAGCCAGGCAAATGATGTATTATATATGTACAGGCAGAACCCAAATTACAAGAGGGTTGTGTTCATAAAAAAAGTCTCATAAATCAAAATTTCATAAATAGAAAAAAAATTCCTATTCACTCATATTATATATGTGATACATTCTCTATGAAAAAACATAAAATGATACTGAACATGTTTTTGGTATTTTTTTTATAAACAATGATTATAGTACTGTAAATGCGTCTGATAAATACAGTACAGTATAATAATATTGAATTACAAACATCCCCGGGTTACAGAAGAGTTCTGTTCCTGAAAATCTTTCTGTAACGCAAAACCATTTTTCCCATTGACTCCCATTACAGTACAGTCATCCCTTGGTTATAGTGCACTTGGTTATCAGGTTTTTCGTTATCACGCCTCCATCAAAATCTGCACACCTGCCATTATGGCGCATTTTTCAGGCCGAGAATTTGGTTATCACTCACTTGCCTCCAGGTGTAATATTACCCCCTTGCTTCACCTACATCTATTGAGGATAAAATCTTTCACCTAAAAATTGACAATAACACATTTGCTGTAATCAGACATATCTAGTTGCCTCAACAATTGCAACCCCAGTTGCAATTTCATATTCTGTGTTATTACTAAGGAATAATGAATTCTTTGTTGCACTCTAAGATTGAGAGAAAACGGAGGACTCAGGCGTCCTGAAGCGAGAGAAAACGGACTCCTATGATGGGGGACTCAAATAAAGAAAGCATAGCTACATGTTTTGTGGACTACAGTATTGAGCGTACCCTTTTCATCACTTTGTAATAAACCTAGCCATGCCTATGTGTGTTTCTGATATTTACCATAACGTTGTGTATATATATATATATATATATATATATATATATATATATATATATATATATATATATATATATATATATATATATATATATATATATATATATATATATATATATATATATATATATATATATATATATATATATATATATATATATATATATATATATATTATATCTATCTTTGGTGGGTCTAAATGGTCGTAAAATGAGAAAGTTGGAGTTGGGTCTTGGGTAACTGGAACCAATTAGAATAAATCCCATAGGTTCTGTACTTTCGTTATCGCGTTTTTCGTTATCACGCACTCGGCGCGGTCCCAATTAGGCGTGATAACCAAGGGATGACTGTATATAAGTCAAGATGTGTTCCTATGGAAATTTTTTGAGGCCTAAAAATTTAATAAAATCACATACTGTATATGTATAAAAATTTACAGTTTTAACCACATACAAAGAGTCATTCATGTTGTAGCATAATAATAAATGCACAAAACACTCAAATTTTACTTACCAGAAACGATATTGAGTGTTGAGTTAAGTTGAGGTGGGTGCATTTGGAGTTACTGGAAGGGAGATAGAGGATGACTGCCTCTCCCTGTGGCTCATCATCATCATCTTTTGCTGCTGGCTGTGGTTTTGGGGCAAAGAACTTGTCTAATATCATCTATCGTTGACAGCACAATTTTTCAGTGTACAGCTCCTTAAAATTGCTCTTATTCTCCAATCTTCTTGCAAACTTGAGGCTGTGTTCACAATCTGGATTGTGAGTCTCAAAGGTTTGCATCACATCTTCCAGTTGACTAATCGCTTTAGTCAAAACTTTTGTTGCCAATTCACATTCTGTAGATGGAACTTCTGTACAGGTATCCTCTTCTTCCTCACCAGCAGCTCACTTCTGTTCCATTAGCATCAGGTTCCTCATTGGACAGATCCTCTCTGTGTGACTCCAACAACTCGACCACACCACCATGATCCACATCCTTGAACCCTGCACCATTGCCAGTTATAACTTCCTGATGCACCTCATTCAAGGTCTCAACCTGAGGAAAACCTTGGAAATCGTGGATACATTCTGGCCAGATGTTCTTCCACACACCAGTCAATGTTGAAAATTTGACCTCATCCCATGACTCAGCAATGTTTTCTACAACATTCACGATGTTAAACTTCTTCCAGATATCCCAGACTGATTGTTGATCCTCGCCCTCAATTGCAGCTATAAGTTGTCTAAATGTCCAATGTAAATAGTATGCCTTAAAGCTGGTAAACAGTGGTAATCACACCTTGATCCACAGGCTGTAGCAGGGAAGTTGTGTACTCGAGCGGGTATTCAACCCTAATATTACTGGAAAGGTCATTAAGGTTAATAGGGTAGATGGGAGCATTATCAAACCATAACAAGGCCTTGTTGGAAATATTTTGTGGTTACTTTACCTTTCTACTAAAGAGAAACCAGTTTGTGAACCAATCTTGAAAGAGGCTGGCAGTCATCCATGCATTCCTATTGGAGCGCCATATCACTGGTAACCTATATTTGGCGTAGCCCTTGAAAGAATGGAATTTAACTAAAAATTTCCTGTAGTATTACCCCCTAACAGAAGCATTACACAATCCTTGGAAGCCTTAAAACCAGGAGCTATCTTCTCAGTTGAAATAAATGTCCTGACAGGCAGGCACTTCCAGTGCAGGCCTGTTTTATCAATGTTATACACTTGTGGTGTAAATCCATCAGCCTCAATGATTGCCTTTAGTTCGGTTGGGTATCGCTTTGCAGCATCAGTATCAGCACTGGTTGCTTCACCTACCATCTTAATGTTATGTAGGTTTAGGCATTTATTAAAAAATCAAACCACCCTTTGCTGACATTAAAGGGTTTCTCATCAGAACAAGTACCTTGTTCCATAACTAAATCTGCATTCAGACTCTTAGCCTTTTCCTGAATTACCATGGTGTTAATGGGCACATTGCACTTGGTCTGGTCCTCAATCCACACACTCAGTAAGCATTTCATACTTATCATAACATCACTATGATGAAAATACAGTGTACAGGCTGTTAATGGAGTAACAACTTTAGCATTAGCCCTAATTTTGTCTTTGTTATCATGGATTTGTTCCGACAGTGGAGGTAGCAAGGCCCAATGTTTTGGCGATGTAACTCAGTATATCCCCCCTCATCAAATCTTCTTTAACAACATTTAACTTTGTGGTCTTTTACTACCACTTGCACTTGATGGCCTCTTTCCACTCATCTTGAATAAGAAAACACAGTACAGTACAGTACCCCTAATACAGTCCTGAACAGAGGCAAAGCTGGACACAAGCTAGAGACTGAATTCAAACAGACCAAAACCATTGTTGTTGTTGTGGGGCTGCAGCTGCCCTTGGGTTAAGAATTGCATTTTTTTTTATTTAACCTTTAAGCCCTGGGTTAGGGTGCTGCTGGAAGTACCCCCCGCAGGGATAAATTGATAAAAAATCGACTTTTTCCAAAAATAATTAATATTGGCGGAATAGGCGGACGTTCTGGAACGTCACCCGGGGCGCGCTGGTCGGACGTTCTGGAACGTCAACCAGGGCCTAAGGGCTAAAAATTTACCAAAATTCCGTAAAGATGAATTTTCCCTATCCCAAATTTTTAGTCATAATTTCAAAAGTCTGTAACCAAGGATTCCATAACGTGGGGGATACCTGTACATCAATATTAAGTCTATAAAGTATAATCCAAATTACTGGTAAGTGCTGTACTTATGATAAACTGAAGTGATTGACACATAAGGTGACATTGTGTGGCTAGAGGGTGGCTTTTTTAGGTTTACCATTACCACAAATCACTTGAATTATCTTTACCAGTCATTTTGGTTATGAAAGCACAATAAAATCCTGCCAAATGCGAGAAGTAAGCTTGGCGCCACCTTCCCGGATTTAAACAAGCACAGACACTGATGCCAAGGTGGTACGCACTCACATCATACAGTATGAAACAAAGTACAGTATAAATACCATATAAGCCCAGTACTGTACACAGAGAAGCACATTCAATACACCAAAGAAAAATGCTCAGGTAGTCAATTAAAATTCATAATCTCCATTTACATCAGGAAAACTCATCTCTTACCTAAATGGCACTGAATTGTTGTTGTTTCTTCATACAGGTATGATCATGTTATCTCTTCATTGATTGAGGAAAACCAATACCTGTACTGATTATGTAAGCATGCTGCTTGTAAAATAAAGTGCTTTATTTAACATATACTGTAATTTTCATTATTACTGAGGATAAAATTATGAAAATACTGAAGAATTTGTCTGTAGCACCAGGGTTTTTGCTCGTAAATCAAAGCGAAGGAATTTTTTTTGTAACTTTGAATTCTTGTAAATCAAAGCCTCATAAATCAGGGTCTGCCTGTATATTATTGTAGACAAAAATTTTTTTATCCCTCAGCTAGAGGGATAGGTGGTGCAACCCCCCTCCATTCTTAACCGGTAACTGGTCATTAACGTTCAAGTACGTGATCACCGATGTTACTAACTCAGGTCATTCACGTACTGTACTAGAACGTTTTCCAAATATACTTTTCCCGCACCTTTAAAACCGAGTCTAGTTACCATAATCTGTTGGCTAATGGTGTCTGGCATCTTATGTAAACGTTTCCTGCCACTTGGCCTTGAGGACCCCCCCAGGGGGCTCCACCCTCCTGTTTCTTCCCCCAGAAAGGTCGCAGGACTACACAGTAGTCTTTCAATAGCCATGGCACGTGAATGTACCGGTCACTCAATCAGGATGAGACATTCTCTGAATTATTTGGTAGGGGTGAAGATGAACATGGTATTGACAGAGGCATGTACTGATCGTGATGTTGAAGGTGATTATAATGATAGTGACCTGGACTACGTATTTGAACAAGAGGAAAGTGACGTCAACAATGATGAGTGGCAAGTGGAGGAGAGAGGGTTGCTGCCTTCCCATCTCCAGGAACATCCAGTACTTCCTCCATTTTACCAACCTCAACCCAGCCTCACTACATGGTTACATCTGCCCACACCCCGGCTAAAACGGACACCCTTCCCCCCTATTAGTCCATTTTAACGAGGGTCGACTGTACCTAGGAAATATAAACAAAGTTTAAATTTTTATATTTATTTTACTTAAATAGCTTAGACAAAACTACTGTATATACAATATTTACTTAATGAGTCATAATGAATTTCTCGAGTTACTTCACAGGATACAGCTAGACAAATATTATAAGATTAGAATTGGGTAACAACAAACATAGTGGAATTTGACTAGCTGTTTCAGCCTGTTGGGAGAATAAACCACCACTGATAAGATGGTGATATCCTAAAACAAAGTGAAAAGTTATGTACAAAATAGGTACCTGTATAAGAACTGATGAAGAAATATAGCTCATCACAATCTCAAGGATTAAATGTATCCAACTTTATATAGTGATACTGTAAAAGAACTGTAACATGTTTTAAAGTACAAGATGAAAATTTCCCACAATATCTCTGACAACAAGTTTCACCTCTATACTTCCCCCACTGTGCTTGTCAAACATGGTCCCTGAAGCAAACACAGTCTTCATAAATTCTAACTAGAGTGTAACAGAAACCAACTCCGACAGACATAGATACTGAGGGTAGCAGAGAAGTATTCTTGTCAGAGGCAGACAAATAACAGAAACATTTCTCTTACATAAATGAACACGCTTATAGGACTTAATTTATTCATCAAGACATATCAATGAAATAATATCTGCAGCTCTTAAAAAAGTTCATACAAAGTATAGGTTTTGTACTTTACTCAATTATAACTTCTTGATATTTGCCCTTTTCACTGCTTTTGCAATCTAAGTAAAAGTTTATACCATACAATCAAAGCTAATACTTGCATCCTTTATATAATAGTTATGGCACAAACAAATCCTTTAGGTAACATAGTAATACTTATTACTCAAGTTTTCCATACAATAAGAAATGATTTAGTTCTCTGAGCTTTGCTGTATCATTGGCACTAGCACCAATCGTCTCTAACAGCTGCTGGTACTTGTGTTCCTTCTTTAAAATTTCTGTAATTGTTGTAGTGACCACAGGGGCCAAGGTGATGTCATGATAAAGGTAAATATGGTTGTTGAAAGTAGCATACACTAGACATGGTACCTGAAAAAATACAAAATAAGTTATGATGAGCCTAAAAAGTTTTACTTGTACAGAATATGCTTTTATTTTTTGCTTACTCTTTACTGAACTGAAATAAATGATTCCAGCTACCCCTGCAACCCAACAAGAGTGCTTGCACGCACAGAAAAGGACTGAAGTATGATACCGATATCACATTTTAGACAGGGAAAAAAACAAAACAAAAAACAAGCAATGTGCGAGATCCATACCACGAAATCATTCCTTGGCAGAGACTAAGGAATCACCAGACAGCCTTGACATGACTTGAAGGTAAGATATATTATCCAAGTAAATAATGTTTTTGCTGCTGGAAACCTTCATATCCAGTCAAATCAAGTCAAAGATTGACCTCAAATTATCCACTAGTTGTCTCATAGACCAGGTGAGTAACACGATTCAAAGAATCTACGGTCATAAAATTATCATTCTCCTCACCTTTCAGTTCCTACAAAATTTGTAATTCTACACAAGCAAGAGAGAGTTCACTAGCTTTCTCTTGGTCATAAATTGGGATTTCATACTTCCTTTCTCAATTTACAACAAGAGTCATCAATAAGTGATCTACAACTTTCTATCTTATCGAAGTTAGGAAGGTGGTGGAGGAAGTTATAGGTCAATACAGACTATTGATAGCACCCCTAGGGTGTACAGGGTTCATCTGTAATAAAAAATATTCAACTTCTGTGTTTCCAATAGCCACACAGTCATGTGTTGTTCTATAAAGCACCTTAAAATGAATACAATAAGTCTCAACTAAAGCATGACCTTCAATATCATGGTTCACATTTCACAGAAAACTAATTAGGGAACTCCTTATATCTCAACATGTCAAGGCATCTAAAACATCAGTTTGTGGCATGCCACCAAGGTCTGTGTGGCTTATGGGTCTCTCACCAAGTTATGGACATTAAGCCATTGTCACTTTTAGCTGTAGCTACCAGAAAATGTTTCAGCTGTGATCAAGGGATGATAAATCCCAATCTAAACATTTTCATTTCATCTTGAGTTTCAATTACAGTACATACAGAATTCTCTCTTGAATTTTAATATAATGTGGAGAGTACTGAATTTTACTTATGAGTCACTCAGTTTCCAAACTCAACATCCAACTGTGTTTGTATTTATAAGCACTCTGTGAATTTCATCATCTTCCAATGATGCAAATGTCTGGTCTTGAAGAGGAAAATATACCTCTATTAATTTGGAGATGAATAAAGAAAGCACCCTAGAGTACAGAAAGCACCCTAGAGTTTGAAATCAAGATGCTAGTGAGGCTTAAATCAAGTTAAATGACTAGTAAGATAGCACATGAAGGAGTCTAGCCCCAACAAATCTATAAGCGAGTGACGATTCATTTTTTCTAGTAATCTATGTATGTTCTTTGCAATGTAATGAATAGGACTTATTTATAAATATCCAATTCCTTTTCCTCTTTGAATTCTTTCTTATTTCTTTGTTTTATAGATTAAGGAAGAGCAGAGGTGGAGGAGTGAGTGAGTGAGGGCGGAGGTGTGGGCAGAGACGGGAACTGAAGGAAGGAAGGTGTACGAAGGTGGTTGCGGTTAAGGAGAAGGGGTGTCAAGAGCTAGGAGGAGAGTAGGCCTAGAGAGTGAGGAGACAGAAGTGAATAATAAACTGTAGAATAGGGATAACATGCGATAACTGATTCACTAGAGGAAATGTATGAGACTTGGGTTATTACTCATGACTCACTGCATCACTACATAACACAATAGACTTTTTTACTTTACATCGGTCAGGTTCATATTCATTTATGTTTACTTGTTTATATTACTCAATGGATATTTTCACTTAATTCATTTAAATCAAAATGCTCTCTTTCATCAAACTTCTACTACAAGGGAGGGGTAGAGAACAAGGAGGGTAGAGAACAAGGGGGTAGAGAACAAGGGAGGGGGGTAGAGAACAAGGGAGGGGGGTAGAGAACAAGGGAGGGGGGGTAGAGAACTGACAACACTTGTAACCTTTCTTCATTTAGTATTTAAAACATTATGAAAAATGGCAATCACTTTTAAAACCTACACTCTGCCTTCTATTCGATTTGGTGAGACAGATGCTTGAAGCAAAATATTTTGTAAGAAGAGTCTCTTGCCTTTGAGTAAGTCAAAACCGTCAAAGTAGAAATTTCTACAAATAAAATAAAAGAATTGAGCCCAGGTACCAGTATGTAAAATGAGTGATTGAGATAATTTGTATATGACAAGCTCAAAATACAAGCCATTACATAAAGAGCAAAAATGAACAGTTCCAATGCTTTAGAATACCGGTACTGTACTTACGAGTATACCATTTAATGAAAGCCAATTTCACTTTTACAGCATACCGATAGTAGCTATCATAAACTGTGTAAGATATAATGTGAAGTAATAATTACAAGCAGTACCATATAATCAAAAGGAAGAGTAGATTCACAGCACAACAGCATGGTGCAGTGTTATAAATGGGAAGAGCACAGTTATTAGTCTTTCTGGAGAACTTTCACAGACAAATGATACACATTAACATAAGGCTGATGATAAAGTATATCACATTGATCAATTTCTATAAATCTATACAATTACAAAACGTAAGTAGAGTAGTGCATACCTGTTTTCCTCGAAGACCGTATAAACCTGCTGTGAATGCACTAACAGGTTCATGGAAGGTGAAACGAACACAATCAGTGTTCTGGCAGACAATGTAGGTGTTTCCATCCCAGGCACAGGCTACAACTTCATCCTTGCCATTATCAGTAACATCTAGTGCACAGACAGCAAAAAGTTGATGGTCGACTTGCAAGTTCCACTGAATTTTTCCATCATAAACCAGTATCAAAGTACCATCCAAAGTAGCCAATGCATAGGCAGATGCCAAACCAGCCCCTCCTTCAATAGACTCACAACCTGCTCCAACAGATGGCCTTGGGTTCAGACACACATCATAAGACTCTTCGTCAGTGTCTGTGCTAGACCGAACTTGCCTGGGCTCTAAGTTTTTAGGCATTTTATAAGTAGCTGCTTCAGCTCCTTCACTGTTTGACTGAAGGGCATCACCCTTTACACTTTCATTAGCATCCCCTTCACTACTATAAGAACTGGGTCTAACTTTGCCCAACCTGATATTGCCACAAATCTCTGTGTGAATGTTGGGATTACGGAGTCTGGCTGATGCCAGTGGCTCATAATCGAGGGACATTTTGGTCAGCAATTCAGATGACTGCTCATCAAATGGATCTAATTCACTATCCTGGCCAGCAGGTTGTACTTTCAGAGTAAAGTAAGTACCACCAGGCTGTGCTACTAGAAGTGATGGACTTCCATCTTTACACTTATTAAATGTGATGCTTCCAATTTGATCACCTAGTTCCCATTTATTAAGACCAATCAATTTACCATAAGGCTTCCCCCCGACAACATCACCTGAATTTACCCACCTGTATGTACGAACAACACGATCTGTGAGAGCAACAACCATCTCTGAAAACCCATCACCATTTACATCACCAATTAACATTACTTTTACATTGGAAGGGATACGCTGAGCATGAACTGGTTGCAGCACTTTCTTTTCTGTTGATTCTCCAAGGTGATCATCCTCAAAGTCATATATGTAACAATAACCACAGCCAGTGACCACTACCAACACATTAAGTCCTGTGTTAAATACATCCCCAACTGCTATAGCTGTCACCATCCCAAGATCTGTTCCTACACGAACTGGACGAGAACTCTCTCCTTTAAAGACTGCAAGAACACCATTTTCATTCCCAACGATAAGTTCATTTTGTCCATCATTGTCCACATCACCAAGGCATATCGCATTCTTATTAATATTCCCCTCAAATTCAAGCTCTAAATGGTTTACAAATGAAACAACTCTCATTTTCCTTTTCTAAAGAATTAATAAAAGTAAAAATATATCTCAACTATGTTTCAATCTTCTATGTCTACCAAATCAATTACTTCACTAGAATCAAAACTCCTTCCAGAGACATCCCTTAAATTTAGTGGTATTCTTTCATCAGGCAATTCACTCTCCAACCACTGCCACCGTCTTGGAGGCCAGACAATCTGAGAGGCTTTGGCTGTTATAAGTCCTATTGCTACTGGTCCAAAGAAGTTTGAGTCTAAAGAATGGCCAGTATGATCACCCTCTACCCAACAATGCCCCTCTGGAATACGTATGTATCTGGTTTTGTATCCAATAGTCCGAATTAAATCTCCTTCAAGGGCAATTATGCGTTTAATGATTTTCTGGCTGGGATCCTTAGGGGATATAAGAGACACCATGTCACCACGACTGTAATGAAAAGATCTGGAACTCCAGCGATTCAGAAAAACAAAATCACTCTTGCCATTATTTTCAGGGTTCAAGGCTGGTTGCATGGATATACCTTCAACCTTGGCAACATAACCAAAGCAATCCACAAAGGTAAGACCAATGGGGATACCAACTGCAATAGCTCGTAACATTAAGATTAGTAGAGTTTAGAGAAGTCCAAGAAACACTACTCCACAAAAAACCTAAAGGCTGGTATTGTCATCACTATCTGAAAAGCAGAGAAAAATAACACTGAAATACTATCTGAAAAAAGAGTATCTCTTAGTACAAACAGGCTATTACAACTTTTGTAAGCAGTGTGTAAAACCAGGTAAGGCATTTCCAACAAAGCAGCATTACACACACACAAATCATTCCCAACACTTTATTCATTACTCACCTAACATTCCACTTATGATGACTTCAAAGTTAATAACACTCAACAATTTTTATCTTTATTTATCAAAGCACCGCTTATCGGCTTATCAGCCTTTGGGACAGTTGGTCTGTTCTTTGTTACTTTGTTGTAACCTTTATAGTTCAGTGCTTATTAATAGATATGTGGTTTAAAAAAATCTGCTTTGCAACTGTACTGTACTGTACTGTACTAAAATCTACAAAAATTAACAATTTATCCATTTTAAGACCAAGCAAGGAACAGTTTATTTATCAAGTCCACCAAAGCCACTAGGTTTGGACCTGAGAACAACAGAACTAAAACAGATCTGGCAAGTCAACTCCTCAAGAGCACCCCAGTGTAAGAAGTAGTTAACACTCAAAACTGGAAGCTAAAAATTCGTGAACCTGTGCAGCTACAGTGTAACCCATTTCTCACTTGCCTGACAAGTCACATGCAATGGGAGCCACAGCCATTACGATACATCTAGCCAACCTCTGAATATTTCTTAGCCGGACATGTGAATCCCTAATTGTTCCTCATTTGCTCAGTCATAAAATATGTTTTCAGGAAAAAAATTAAAATATAATTTTTACAACTAATGTATGCACCGGTAAAAGTAGGTACAGTATCTACTGATAGGTAACAATATTCTATTAAATCCACGTACTGTGGTGTATTTTTTGTTCGAAACATGCCAAATGGTTTTTTTTTAAGTTGAAAGCCTTTTCATCATAGAGTTTCCTAAATGCTGAAATACTACTTCCTGAAAGCTTTTGAAAAATTGAGAGCATTTTAAAGGAGTTTCTAATAGCTGTTTACCATCCGCTCAGTTTCTTAAAAAGCCATCTTAGAATATGGCATAGAGCCAAGAATTTCCTTCCACAGTTATTTCTCAACTTATGTCAAGTCATAAATGAAAAATACTTTAGTATTTACTGAATATTCTTGAAAAAATAAAGATTCGACAGTCAGCAATAACAAATTAAAAAATCTCAAGACCTGGAGATGTGTGGATAATAAACGAATAAATGTCACAAAGGTCCCCTGGTAAAAATAACAACAGTACTCTGTATACAGAAAAAAAAAAGTGCAGCCGTATTTCTTCTGGTTTTCATACATTATTCAAACAAGATTAGAAGCTGAACAGATCATTTTGTTGTTGATATTGCTCACATACGACCATGCAATAATAAGCCTACTTCAAGTCTTCACTCTGGGCATACTATGTTGAATCCATCATATCATGATGTCTACTTTTTGTTCTATACTAAGCACCTTCCACTTTCTCTTCTTCTCGGCATTTGTTGAAGAACTTGTTGAAGCTATGCTCAAGTTTTTGTTGGTCATTGTGAAAGGAATGACCAAATTTCTTAAGTTATAAATCCACAAGGAAGGCTGGAAGCATCTTGTACCAACTAGATCAAAATCTGGTAGCCAACTTACAAGCTTCCACATTTGGGACATTGGTGTCCCTTTCCAAACAGGGCTCTTCATGAATAAAACATAACTGGACTTTATGCATAACAGATATCCACACACCCTATTATTGATAGCAGAATGGCTATTCTGGTCAGAGCATAGTATTTTGATACCTGTATACCATTTTAGCTAAAAGATTTTTTTTTTTATACAAAAGAATCATCTTACTTTCCAAGTACAGTACTCCTCACTTTACAATAATTTGAATCCACATTCCAGGGAACCATGCATTTTATTCTTTAACACTACTGGCAGGAATTTTTTCTCTTACACTATCATATACTGTACAGTGGTCCCTCGGTCAACGAGATTTCGGTTAACGAGTTACCTTCCATAAGATTCTTAACTTCGGTTAACGAGCAATCCCTCGATTAACGAGTTTCTTACGAGCAGACCTCAACATGTTTTCGCTTGCATTTGGTGGTCCACCAGCTGTAGTATTAGTCCGCCAATACAGTAATCGGTTCTAGGGCTTATATTCCTTACCAATTTAGTAAATATCAAGAAGTTTATACTATTCAATAATTTTAAAAGTTTAATACTAAATTTTTTTAGTAATTTTAACAATGATTGAAGATAATTGAAGGTAAGGAAACTAGTTTTATGTGCGCCATCCAGCCTGGCAACACACCAAACAGATGCCAGTCTCTGTCTTTTCAGTGGAGTTAACATCTTGCTTGAGACTTCAACTAAACGCTTTTTTCTGTGTTTCCAAGCAAATTATTGGTCATTTTGAAATTTATTTTACATATTGACAATATATAATGCAGTGCAGTGTTGATTTAAAGAAAATAATCTTGAATTACACCAAGAGAACTAAAATATTATGGGTGAAATGGCACCATGGGGTGACTTCTCTTCCACCCCAATGCCTTCTCTTCTCCCTTCTCCTCCACCCCCATTCTAATTCCCATCATCATCCAGGAGCCTTCTACATACACACCTTAAAGTAAGTGTACTTTTCTACCTTTTTTTGTTGAATTTAGGCAATTTTCGGTGAGCTGGAACCAATTACCCAGAAACCCATTGAAACAATGGTTTCGGTTAACAAATTTTTCGGTTAACGAGCAACCTTCTAGAACGGATTGTGCTCGTTAACCGAGGGACCACTGTATAGTATTCTGTACTTCTGGCCTCAATTAAGAACAGGTACAGTAATGATGGGATGTGATTGACTTGTGGGAGAAAATTGAAAAAAGGGGGTAGGCCTGAGGATAGTGTACAGTACTGCACAGTACTTCTTCAGAGAAAAACCTTTTTGTGGTATTTCTAGCTTTGAAATAACTATGTTGACATTACTTTATGCAAAAATTCTTTCCTATTGAATCCACCTCTTGATACATACCAAACTGCACTTCTGACCCCTCAATCACACTTCTCTCCTCTAGACAAAACCCTTTTAAAGTGTCTGTAGCTGTTGTCATAATCAACTAACAATTTTGACAAATTTCAATTTATACACTAGTGCTCACCTCATGTTTTCGGTTTCTCATTAAAGCTGAATATCTTCCAACTATAACATTGTAGTTATGTGTAATCCTACTGACTGGGTATCAATAGTGTATTTCAGCTAATTAGGCTTACTATAAAGAAGCACACATGGGAAAGGTGTAAGAGCATTGTACACAAGTGAGGCAGTGATGAGCTTGACTGATATTGTTCCCACCTTAATGAACACCCTCTTTAACTCCTATAATGAGTACAAATAACATGGGCTGCAGGCACCTACTTTTACTGAGAAACACTGAAACTCATGAATCTGATGACAAATCATACCCTTCATAATACTGTACAATATTCTATTAAAATTGGAAAGCATTATCTCATTGTTCTGGTTACTAAACATAGGTAAGACATAGTTAATGAATGCTCAAATGTAATTCCATCCGAAATTTTACCTAAACCAACAAGCATTTAACCCTATCAGCACTTGGCAAAAGTCACATCGAATGGTTTTTAGTATCTAGATTTAAAGCGACTTCATGTGATATGCTGGTGGACGGTGGAAGTTCAAGAGACACATTCTCTGACATCACTGTGGCTTGCATCAGCTGATTCCCACCGACGCTATCGGACTTCTCAGTTTATATGCCATGACATTATTACTGAACTATGAATAGAAGGAGAATACAATGATATATAAAGAAAGGAATTTAGGAGACATGAGCCTGTGCTTATGCACCAGTTTGTTGATGCCTGGACAGTTCATCAGCTGATCACCATTACCCCCATTACCACACATTTCACCTAATCTGTGTAATGAAAATAGGTTGGGATGATTCATAAGTGAATACAGTACAGAAAATGAAAGTGTTAAGTAATTACATTTGGATAATTACCATTAGCTGTTTTTCATTGAAAATGGGTCAACTGTATAAATATATTTCTATCTACAGTCATAAATTACCTGTAGTGGGCAGAGCATAAAGGATGAGGGAAATTGTGGGGGTAAAACACAAAAACTAATCATATGACACTAAAATGATGTCTCTACATGTTTTGTACATGAAGAAATTAATTATTAAAAAAAAAATAACAAATCCGGTGTATCGCCGCATGCTCTGACCGAGCGTACTCTCGTGTCCACTAAAAATGTAAATTAACATCAAGACACTTCAACAAAGTTGCTTTCATTGATACCAGATATCAAAATAAATACTTTCTCTTTATTATGGTGGGGAAGAGGGGGGGGGGGGCTGACTAGGAAGTTAGGTAGTTTTGGGGTAAATTTTTATTTTTGGACATGAGTCCCTAGGGGTTGACCAATATGTTTTTCCGGTGTATTTTGGTGTGTTTTAATCGAATCTGACCTTCATTTTGGGTGGAAATTGCTAGTTTTTGCCCCCCTCCCCCCAACAATAATGGAGGAGTGCCAGGGAAATCGGGGTTTTTGGATGGGGGAGAAAACGAAAACGAGTCATCTGACCTAACAAAACCTAACCTAACTCCTAGCCGGGGGCTCTGCTCCCGGACCCCCAGCTGGCCTAACCTGACCCTTAGCCAGGGAAAACCCCCGGTAGGCCTAGCTTAAACTAACCGAAATGTTTCGGAAGTTAAATACTTTGGGGCGCGCCATGTCTGAAAGTACAATACCTTAATTAGAATCGGAAGGAACAGGGATACGTAAGAATTGGATAGAATAAACGTCTTTCTTGTAAAACTCGGAAATAATCTTAAAATAATCGTAGGAACACAAAAGACAACCAACCTCTACCACGGCCATTCTGAAACTGGTCAATGAACTTTAAATCATACCCAGGCTGCTTCCTTTGAGAAAAATCAAATGTGATTATTCGAAAAAAAATTTGCATAATGATATCGATATCTCATTGGTCACGACAGGATGATGTCAGTCAACATAGAGCCTGTGTGATGCACAGATAACATCTCCTCACAGACGAAGACTGAAAACTACTTAAAATCTAAATGTTTCAGTAGTTTATAACTTTCGGGGGCACTATGTCCGAAAGTAAAATAACACCACTTCTGGTATTACGTACTATATTATCATTTCAGTTATCCGGTGAATTTAGGATTTTAAGTTACCACGTCCAGAGAGATCCAGTGCATTCATTCGTAGGTTACTACGCTGCATTAGGTTAGGTTACATTTGAGAAGCAGTGCTGTGACCAATTGGAAAATTATAGTTTCAGCCAATATACCCTATTAGTTTATAAATTAGTTCATCCTGTGTATTTTGGTGTGATTTAATCGAATGTGACCTTTATTTCCGTGGGGGAAGTATCTGTTTTAGAGTTATCCCTTCCCCAATGTATGGAAAAACTTTTAAAATTCATTTGAAATTATTATTCTTTGTCCCCTGGTTGAAATGGGGTTAGAAATCCTCCAAATAAGGAGATCTAAAGGTTGGGATGGTTAGAACAGTCAGCCGTGTATTCCCCCCCCCAAGGCTACAAAACCTAACCTAATTTAAACTAACCAAACCAAACCTAACCTTACCCCCAAATCAGTACAATACCCTAATTAGAAGTCAAGGGGCCAGGGACAGGCTGAGGGTCAGACGAAAGAACACACGCATAAGTAACATACGGCCATACTGTTGTAAAAGTATGGAAAAACTTTAAAATTCATTTCGAAAGTTATTATTCTTTGCCTCTGGTTGAAATGGAGTTAGAAATGTTCCAAATTGGGAGATCAAAAGGTTGGGGATTGTTAAAACAGTCGGCCGTGTATTGGCTGAAACTGCAATAATACCAAACGATTTTTACCGGTTAGGTTGAAATTATGTTTTACCGATTTTTTTTTGTGTGTGTGTGTGTGTTTTGAATGCCTGCAATTCAATAAAGTCCTTCTGGTGCTAACCGTCTCCTCCACCTTTACCAAAATAATTCCTAATATTCCCATGTTGTCTGAAAGTAAAAATTTACTTAGCGTTTATCTTCTATGGAGAAATTTCCTCAAGTTAAGTGAATGGTGAGGATTAACCACTCGAGTATTACCGTAATATTTTGACAATCGGTAAGTGCAAACCATGACCTCGAAGGTGGGTTACCGAGTAACTAAAAAGATGTCTTCTTCCTTCACTAATTATTAGTAGACAAACCTTACTAGTTAAGCTCTTAATTTCTTACCTTCGAACTTCTGACGAGCTTCGTCCAATACCTTCTGCAAATCTTCTTTGGCAGAAATAAGAATCTCTTGCAGTGTGTCTGCGTTTATTTCTTCACTCATGTTTCTTACGTTAGTACAGACACACACAGCCGTGACAATGAGACATCACGATAAGTACTGAAGATATGGCAGGAACTGCTGCTGGAGCAAAGTTCAAAGTAACTTTGAAGCTCAAGGTCGACCTCGACAATCACAATGTTTATCACGAGGAATGTTACAAGGAGCCTAAACTACCCCTAGAGTGTCTTTCGGATCCCGACACTGCCGCCATCTATTGGACAAGCCAGAAACCATAGGGCATGGTCTTCTGAGTGTTGGAATATATATATATATATATATATATATATATATATATATATATATATATATATATATATATATATATATATATATATATATATATATATATGTAATATAAATCACAATACGTGGATAAGATAAATCTTGATAAAATCACACGGGAAAATGGAAACAACGGAGTACCATAGCTTTCGTCTTTATTCAAGACATCTTCAGAGGCAACTGGATTACATGGACAGAGAGAGGCTTAAATATACAGGGTGACCTTAAAAACAGGAGGTCAGGTCATAATGATGACATCCACTAATCCACACACCAACACACACGTAGAGGAGCTTAAGAGAAGGGTGGTGACGTGACTAACCAGGTCAGGTCAGAAAAAAGGACCCACAGAATAACTATCCTACATCTAGATCAAAGGTTTTCAAAGCATTTTTAACCTTGGGCCACTGACAAATAAATTTATGTAACATATTATCAGTTTTGAACTGACCATCACTAAGGTTTATTGATTTTAATTCCTTAATCAAACTAGCTTCAACCAGAAGTCTTTCTGTGACACAAGATGATTTGAATACTTCTAAGCTTTTTTCCCAAGCAATGGGGTGATTATTATTCCTAACATGAACGAACAAGGCACTGCTTTCAGATGCAGTTTTGATATTATACTTATGTTGTTTGATTCTGAGCTGCAGAGTTTTTCCTGTCTGACCTACATAATTACAATTACATTTGCTACATGGAATACAATAAACACTTCCATTTACATTCAAACTAGGGCTATTCCTTATTAACATATTGGTAATGGTTGAGTCATACTTGAAAACAACATTAATATTTAGAAGCTTGAGGGACCGAACTAACGGGACAAATTCATTACGATAGGGCAGAGTCAAAATATTCTTAAGTGTAGGAACTTGTCTAGTTTGAGAGGAATGAAAGGATTTTTTAGCCCTTTTAAAACAACGATCAACAAACACAGAAGGGTACCCGAGTTTCTGTGCAATAGAACGAATGTGTTTCAATTCATCGTCAATAAATTCAGAGTCACAAATACGCAGACATCTTAAAAACATAGCAGAAAAAACTGACATTTTGGTAGACTCAAAGTGATTCGATAAAAAGTGAATGAAACTATCAACCTGTGTGGGCTTTCTATATACCTTAAATTTATAGTTTTGGCCATTTCTCATGATAAGCATATCAAGAAATGGAAGGGATTCATTTATTTCTCTTTCAATTTTGAACGTGATACTAGGGACAATATCATTAAGCTTGTCTAAAAATTCCAAAGGGTCACTGTTTCTAGGCCAAAGACAAAGAACATCATCTACATATCTATACCATGGAGGAATAAAGTCCACTATATTGGGTAGTAATCTAGACTCAAAAAACTCCATATAAATACAGGCTAGAGGAGCAGAAAGACAATTACCCATGCTTATCCCAAATATTTGCTTGTAGAACTTCCCATTTGCCCTAAACACATGTCAGGGTACCCTTCTGTGTTTGTTGATCGTTGTTTTAAAAGGGCTAAAAAATCCTTTCAACTAGGTCACCCCTTGCCCGTCTGTAGTATAAGCTAGGCAAGATCAGGCGCTCCAATCTCTCAGGGTAGCTGAGGTGCCGAAGTGCAGGCACCAGTCTGGTGGCCCTCCTTTGAACATTTTCAACCAACTGACAGTTCCTAGCATATCTCGGGGACCAGACGGGGTGACACTGACAGTACTCCAAATGGGGAAGCACTTCACTCTTGAAGATCGTTACGAGGGACGAACTAGATATCTGAACGACCTTCTTATAAGACCCAATAATTTATTTGCCTGGTTTACCTTCTTCTCGCAATGGCCGGAGAACTTCAGCTCATTGTCAACATACACACCTAGGTCCTTCTCACATTGTCTCAAATGGTGCAGTTTCTTCATCCCGTTGGGACATATGATACGCCTCCTTACCGTTGGTCCGCCCCAGGTGCATCCTCTTACACTTCGTGACATCGAATCTCAGCAGCCATTTCTTTGACCATTCTTGGAGCCCACAGAGGTCCTTCTGCAGCTCTTCACAGTCCGCTTGGTTCTTGATATGTGTTTTTAAGTGAATGGTCAAATTGCAGTTTAAGACCCACTGAGTAACCCCCATCTTATAATTTACTCGGGGGTAGTTTTATCTCCTCATTCCAAATACTGTATGCAAAACAAATTTGTCGAAAATTAATAGGAAAAGTTACAGCCATTTTAATTTTGCATTTCGCCTCTTCCGTTTCTTCGATTGGTTTCCGCCACTTTTATTGCACATTTGAAAAGAGGAGATAAAACTAAACGAAAACATCTGTATAAAACTCGATGGGTGCCACAACGAAGTTCGTAACAAAATAACAAATAAGAGACCCGCCGCCCAAATGGCAAAGTAAACCAAGTGGTGAAATGATCAATCAAACTGTAATTTAACCGACACTGCTTATGAACCAACCACTGACCTATGAGTCTACCTTTTCCTGTCTTTGGGAAGAAATGAAACTTTAGCTCTATTATTTCCTTTATTTTTCCCACAAACAAAACAATGGTGGCTGACGTTTGGAGCTATGTTTATACCGCCAGACCACCTAGCCAACGTTGAAGCTTTTCATGTGTAAACAGGCAGCCCAACCGTAGATAGAGACCGCTCTGAGACAGTCTAGAGCCGTAAAAAGTGATAGCTCTGGGACAGCCCAGAGCCATAGATAGAGACGACTCCGAGACAGCCGAACCCACCAGCACCATTTCTAGGACAAGCATTCAACTAATAGGGATTGACTTTCGTAAGACTATCAGTTTCTTATAATATTCCTTGGGTTTTCAATGCAATATTATCTAAATCCAGAGTCTCAGTTATTCGTTTCGGATTCTTAAAATATTGTAACAAGGATTTTTAATTTATATTTTACCACTTACCAGCTCACTAGACGTTCGGATCTTCCCGTTTATACAAGAGGCGTACCAAGAGTCCAGAGGCAACCTGATTAAGAGAGTTACACTGATAACAGCCTTCTCACTTCTTTCCCAAGTTGGAGGATTGAACGCGGAATGCAATGGTGTGAGGCCAGCACACTTCCGTGATTACCACCAATTAACAACCCACTTATTTTATTTTATATTATATTAACAGGAATTCATCAACTGTACAATGAAACACAATATTATTAAAAACAACAGACCGTGAAGTACATAATAGATCCCCATTGTAAATCTTTTTTAATAATCAATTCCTTGGCGAAAATTTATATATGAATACAGTATGAATTTCTACCCTGTGATAAAAAATAGTGTAAGATTAGTGACCACTTATAGGCTATGTAAGAACTTTAACCCAGTTCACTTTGGTCAAGCACGTGTTGACAAATACTACTTACAAGAGCAAACACTACTAGTTATTATGTGATTTGACTATGGACGTGACAATTTTGACTTAAAGAGATAACGAACTAGATTGGCCATCAAAGCATGTAGATTGCAGATAAACAACGATGATAGTCCGGTAACAAAGTACAAAAAAAAAGAGCCTAGAATTCTATTATTTACGATAACCGGCCATCCTACATGTTTTTAATCATCTAATGTTAATACAGGGGTAAAGAAGTGTGCCAGGGAAAACTTGACACCATTCTAACATATGACTCAAATGGGTCGAATCTGTGTCACAGCGGTAAGAGGCAAGTTGTTATAGATTACAAATAACGAAAGCTGAGATAGCTATGAAAAAAGGTATGTGGGGTATATTAGCTTCTCGTAGAATTTCTATAACAAATTTTTAATTTTGTTATTTGCAACGTGAGCTGAAGATAAATATTTATATGCTTCGTTAATGTTTTGATAAATCTGTCATGCAATTATTTTACGTACAGCTCTATTCCATTTTCTGATACATTCTTATTAGCTCTTGTGCACCTGTTACAACACCCTAGTACCAACATAGGTATGAAGAGTAAACATAACTTATAACTTAATTGTTATTAAACTCAACTTAAAAACAAATAAAAGCAAATTACAGTTATATGGGACACACACACACACACACACACATTATTGCCCCCAAAACAGGTATAAAACACACATAATAGCTAGACATACACAGAATAAGATATGCAGTTCGTAAATACTGTACAGTACTCTCTCAACACAACATAATGCTTATTTCAAAATCATATCGTAGTTTTACGCATTGATTCAAAAGTCGAAAGGCTGTGAGAGCCTTATAAAAGTGACACTTTCAATGCACAAACATTAACTTCAGTAGTCAGATAATTTCTCGTTGGCACCATACAAAGACTTTTCAAAGGCCGGTGTCAGACACGGCAGAGGAATAATTCCTTTGACGTATAGGTATGGATTTTCAGAGATTCTCACGTAAATTTTTCCCTCCCTTATCTAGGGACTGAAAATTTTTATCTAAGTTTCTTTTAAGTTTCACTGTAATTGCGAGTTCCTTTTGGCCTCTGCTATGCAGTTGTAGCTGAGGTCTATAGCTACAAATAACAGATTGGTTCCCCTGAGCGTTTTACCTCCCCGCGGACTGCGCCTACCAAATGTGAACACATTTAGTTTGAATTTTCTATGAACCAATCAGCTATTAGTATAGAATAGGGGCGTAACTTATGGGCCAGGTTAGCGTTTTAACACTATAGTCGGCTACAGACCTCCCACACAACGGATGAATATCTAACTTAAAAATTTCAGAGAATTGGGACAGTGGGTGATAGTGAGGACTTTCCTGCTTGGAAAACCTAATTGTGGAATTACGTCAAGTATTCTTGGAAAATCTCATTGTTTTCGAAGACTTATCCTCAACGACTGCTGTAGATCGTGGAAGAGACGTGGTGTCGTGGAAGAGACGTGGTGTCGTGGAAGAGACGTGGTACCGTGGTAAAGAGACGTGTAGAAGGGATGTGGAAGAGACGGGTGTCATGGTGAAGGACTGCACATTCAAACGCAATTTTCATGTTCGCCATATCATAGTTGCCACAAGAACCTCCTCGTCTCCTTAACTCTCCTTCATCCACTTCTAACATCACCTTCTTCATCATCTCTTGTTTCTGGTTGTTCTTCCATTCTTAATTTTGTCTTCAATTTCCCCGTCCTCGGATACACGTCTATATCGCATTATTATCATAGTTCTCCGCTCCCCATCTGATTACCTTCTTTAGATCCTTCTCCATACCCCTAACTTCTACTAATTCTCTCCTCACCGCAGTTTCGAGGTTCCCCATACACCTAGGGTAAGTCCTCGACTACTCCTCCTCGGACTCCTCAGAGTTTAGGAGGACGACCTTATCTCTGGATTGCAGGTCTGTGATGATACTCTGTTGAGTAAAAAACACATATATTAACAATATCACTTCATGGAATTGAAAATAAGACATGAATAGGCATTCCAGATAATTAATTTGGGAAATTTGTAAATAGGCAAATTCAGATCTTTATCAAAGGCAATCAACTTTGAGTAACCTTTATTTTGGAAGCAGCAATAATTTACTTTACTGTATCCTCTTCGCCACTGACCGACTTTTTAGCCGCTTGGGCAGTCGGACGTCTCTGTTACGCACTGTTGGTAAGTACCGGGGCTTGTATTGCCTCAAGAAATATATGAAATGGGGAATTGGGGGTAATTTTTGCCTTTGGAGTTTGAACTGACGCCAGCTATATCTTGTGGACTGAGACCAGTTATATTACATGGACTGACGCCAGCCGTGGCCCTCCTTGGACGTTTTCAATCAACTGACAGACCAGTGTTGCTAAACTTCCCCAAATCCAGAGGCAAAAATTCCCCCAAAATACCCATTTCCTATATTTCTCTTAATATTTCAGTGAAAATAGGTAATTCATGAAACGATAAAGCATACAATATATAGTACGGTAATAGGAAATATAAAATACAGTATGGTCAAAAAAATTTAAGATTGAAAGACACTTATAATTACATTAGTAATTGATTTGTAAACAGTCTGAAAAATACATTTAAGGGTGAAATTTAAAGAAATATTAAGATGTTAGTAAACAGAAGAAATTTAAAATATTTAACTATTTTTTATTCTTTAGGCCAGGATACATTTCATTATTACATCAACACAAAACCCCCATTGCATTAGTCAGAATCACTTGCATTATGCATATTAGTTTTTTTAATAACTTATCAATTACAGAAAAAATGAAACAAGGATTATTTCTTAAATAACGTTTTGAATAGAACATTCCACCTTGTATCTTGGTTGACAATCTCTTCCTTTGTTTTGTTTTTAGATCATCTCATTCATTATCATTTTCAACACTTATCGGCTTACTAGCCGTTCGGGAGGTTGGTTTATCCACTGTTATCTGGAGTGACCTTTCCAAACATAACAGGTCCCCTCCTGTACTAACAAGAGGAAACCGAGGAAATTGTGATGTTTGGTAAGGTCACACTGGATAACACCCTTATCATGTGGACTGAGGCCAGATATACGACATGGACCGAGGCTAGCTCTATCATGTGGACTGAGGCCAGCTATCATGTGGACTGAATCCAGCTATACTACTTGGACTGACGCCAGCTATACTATGTGGACAAAAGCCAGATATACTACTTGGACTGTCGTCAGCTATATCATGTGAACTGAAGCCAGCTATACCATGTAGACTGACGCCAGCTATACCATGTGGACTAAGGCCAGCTATACTACTTGGACTGACGCCAGCTATACCATGTGGACTAAGGCCAGCTATACTACTTGGACTGACGCCAGCTATACCATGTGGACTAAGGCCAGCTATACTACTTGGACTGACACCAGCTATACTACATGGACTGATGCCAGCTATACTACATGGACTGAGGTCAGCTATACCATGTGGACTGACGCCAGGTATACCATGTGGACTAAAGCCAGCTATACCATGTGGAATGAGGCCAGCTATACCATGTGGACTGAGGCCAGCTATACCATTTGGACTGACGCCAGCTATACTACATGGACTGAAGTCAGCTATACCATGTGGACTGACGCCAGGTATACCATGTGGACTGAGGCCAGCTATACTACATGGACTGAGGCCAGATATACTACTTGGACTGTCGTCAGCTATACCATGTAGACTGACGCCAGCTATACCATGTGGACTGATGCCAGCTATACCATATGGAATGAGGCCAGCTATACATGGATTGAAGACAGCAATATCATGTGAACTGATGCCAGCTATACCATGTGAACTGACGCCAGCTATACCACATGGAATGAGGCCGGCTATATCATGTGGACTGATGCCAGCTATATCATGTGGACTAAGGTCAGCTCAGCTTTACCATGTGAACTGAGGCCGGCTATACCATGTGAACTGAGGTCAGCTATACCATGTGGACTGAGGCCAGACTATACCATGTGGACTAAGGCCGGCTATACCATGTGCACTGAGGCCGGCTATACCATGTGGACTGAGGCCAGCTATCCCATGTGGAATGAGGTCAGCTATACCACGTGGACTGAGGTCAGCTATACCATGTGGACTGAGGACGGCTAGACAACATTACAGCTTCTTCGGGGAAAAAATCAGTACCTTCCAACCACAGTGAAATCTTAGACCCTAGTTGACCTGCATGTGCACTATCAGACCCTAGTTAACCTGTATGTGCACTATCAGACCCTAGTTAACCTGTATGTGCACTATCAGACCCTAGTTAACCTGTATGTGCACTATCAGACCCTAGTTAACTTGTACTTTAACCATAATGATTCTTCCTCTTTTTGTAATGAAAGCTTGTGTTCAATGACCCACTTAACTCTCCAAAATAACATAAGTAATTGACACATTTTCTGTTCATTGCGTATTTGGGTGCCTTGACTGCTATTTTCTCTCGGTAAACCGTTAATTTTATTATTATTATTACACACACACACACACTTGACAAAAACTTTGAGTCACAAAATAGAGAGCATCCTCATACCTCCACCGTAACGTTGAGAAGACACGACCACCGTATATGTATGATGACACCATTGTAACTGTGTATTGATAACGTACCTGCATGTTGATCCTGCGCCTGCGTACTGTGATGCGGTTGTAGACCAGCCAGGTGATAGCTATGATCACCACCGCACTTACCACGGCCCCCAACGACAACATCACTAACAGCGGCACGGCGTCGTTCTGCGCCATCACCTGTTCCTGTGGACAACCGTCGTGATATTAGCCTGTTTAAATTCCTTGAGATGATAATTCAACATGATCTATCCTCACTGATATTTGTAAAAAAAAAAAACTAAATGTAGTAAATGCAATCTAGTTCTCGACTCTAAGTTAAACTATGTAGTATTGCACTTTATAGAACTATTAATAAGTTACACATTTTGCATTAAGTATAATTTAAACACTGGAACCATGGGGATTGTCCAAGAAAGAGATGAGGAACGGGATGCATATACTACCGTAGAAGTCGCAGCCTAGGATATATTTTATTAACTTAATTGTTTTTGTTTTTTTCAATCTGCATGTACTGTATTTTTCAAATAGCAGATCTGAAAATGTTTCAGAAAGTTATAATCCAACCGCAGTGTCAGCTTTCTGGGTTACAGTTTTCTTTATAAAAGGAAAAGGTAGGGGCGGATCCAGGAATATAAAAAAGGAGGGTCCAAAAAGATGTGGTCGGGGAAACAAGGCGTGCAGAGCTAGCCCACTCAGCTGTAGGGTTTGAGGGGGGGGCCGCTGTAAGCCCCATCCAGATTTTATTTTAATCTGACCAATATCAAGGGCATTTTGAGGCCATTTTGAGGTCATATGCACTTGATATTAGAAGACATTCTGAAGTAAATAATAATTAATTTTTACTAAGCAAAAAACGCCTGAGTACAATACTGCATTACAGGAAAAGCATTGGAATTTTCTGATGAAAAGGAATAGACCGGACTCCCAGGGCCCCCCCCACGGATCCGTTCCTGAAAAGGGGTTGATAAATAAAACAGTAATACAGAATTATCTAAAACAATTAGTACATATTAAGGAATAGTAAGTATTTTACTACTGCATACATGTATTAGTGTTAGCTGAATACATTTGTAAATAGATTTTTGTTATAAATAAATTTTTGCAAGAGCACATTTCAGTGTGGAATAGCAGCCTTTATATTGATGAAGCAATATGAAATACAAGATTATAAATGTGTTTATGGGATTTTCCTCAGTCTTTGAATTGCTCATTCCATTTAACTTAAAATGCTGAGAGTAGAATGTTTATTAGAATAGAAATAAATTCCTTAGCAACATTAATGTGGGTATAGGTACAATGTTGATGTTTTGATCAAGAACAGAAGCTGTCAAAGAAGGTATATTATATGCTGCGGCCATCTTCAAATCCAAGATAGACGTCACAGTTATATTTTACTGAGGCATTTCCAAGACTAACTACACATTATCCCGAAAGTTATATGTTATCTGAATTCCAGACAGGAATGTGATATATAAATACACCTTGATAGAAAAGTGCAAATTTTTCATTTGCTCTCCATGACCTCATTTGACCCATCTAAGCCTTTAATCCCGAAAGCCAAAAGAGCAACGTCTCTGAAAATATTCAGAAAACATATACGAAGCATTAGCTGTTGCATATTCCATTCTGAATGTTTAGCAAAACTACGAGCAGAATATAGCAGTTTGCATCCTATGTTAAAGTGTAGTCGGAATCAAGAAAAAAATCAGTCTCGACTTTCGCTCGCCTTCATCTATTCACTCTAACTGCTATAGGATCCTCATCAACCTCTTGTCACCAGTTCATACCAGGGGCGAATGCAGGGGGTCTTGGACCCTCATTTTCATCAGAAAATTCCGCTGGGTGGGCTCGCTGTGGTCGCCAGGTTTCCCCATTCACAACTTCTTGGACCCCCCTTTTGATATTCCTGGATCCGCCCCTGCATTCACTCTCTGGTGCTGCCTGGATGTCCATCCCCTTTACTTTTAGTACTTTCTTCCACCTCATTTTTAGTCTCCCCCCCCCACCAATTATATATTTTTAGCACATTTTTATGGGGTGATTTATTTTTATTCGAAAACCCTAAATAATTCTCTTATACTAAAAACCATGTAAATTAAAAACCTAATATTTTGCGTAAATGTAGCCTAATGTAATAGGAAGACGTGACTGCGGAGAAGAGACAGGTTGACTTCCTCTCTGATTAATCTGTCTATGTACAGTAGACTTTGCTTTTTTGGTTACTCCGTTGGTATGTCACGGGTTGGTTGGTTTTCCGGACGATAATAATCAGGCACAATAGTGAAAAACTGCTCTGGCCAAAAACTACTATTTGTTAGTTTTGTATCATTTTATTCATGGCACGGTATGGGGGCGGTGTACATAGAAAGTACCACTAGTTGTGATTGTTTCTTGTGGTTAAGTTCCTTTCATTATTTTTTAGTCGGGTAACACAACAATGTGAGAATGAAATTACACAACAAATCTTCGGGTGGATTTTAAAGACAGCATAGGTGTAGCACGATGAAAGTGGCTAGAAACTCCTTGGCACAATTCCAGTAAATTTTTTTTTACCATACTTATAATGATGTATATACGTAAGCCAATCAGATGGTCGCTGCTTTGCAGCTGCAAGGTGATCTCTGGATAACAATGCAACTTGTAATGTTATAATACATTACTGCACTTTAACAACTGAGGTTTTCAATCTAAACTAGTAACCTACATTAATACATACACTAACGACCAGTGCCAGATTTAGACCTGTGGAGGCCCATGGGCAGCCTCTTTGTGGAGGCCCCCCCTCATTATAACTACCCAAGAGGGTGGGGTGGCGAGTGAAGCGAGCCTAAACATCTGAGAGTTCCGGGGGGCGCTAAAAGCCCCCCGGGAAAATTTTGAAATTTGAACACTTCATTGGAGAATTTTGAAGCCATATGCAGTTATATTGAGGAAATTAGAACATTGAGAAATTAATTAACTGTATATTTATTGATAGTGTACAAATTCCCAACACACACACACACACAAAAGTGAGACATGACTGGAGTCATTCATGTGGTTTCAAGTCGACCAGCCCTGATATAGCTACTACAGCATATGTCAAAAATTTTCAAGAGACTTCACAGAAAAGAATATATTATAAATTATTACAGAGAGATGATTCTCTGCATTATTAATCAGATAAACCTCTACTCAAATGATGGTTCTGTCCAAGAATGCATGCATAGGCTTCTTTAAGTTTTGCATCCAATAGTAAAACAAATAAACAATTAAATGAATTTGATCGACAGACACATGACAACCGATGTGCAGATACTACACGACCCAACCCCCTCCGACCGACTGTCAACAAACACAGCGCCCTGATGGCATTCGTAATGGAAGTGATAATGAAAAAAATATTTTATTTCTTTTGTAATCTCAATTTCGTTATTCCATGTAGTTCATTTTCAATCAATATTTGTTTGTGGAATTCGAAATATATTATTAGCAACACAAACAATAGCATTCATTAAAAATATACTGTTCATAGGAAAACCAAGTATTCGTGAATTTCAAGGAGTAGCTAGCATAATTTCTATCATGCTTCTTGCTGAACATAGTTTTACTTGATGGAATAGATAAACATGAATTTTAAAGAATGAAAATAAAAATAATCCAAATGAATAAACAAACAAATAAAATATTGTAATATGTGGAGGCCCTGCTAACGACCAATATTAAAAAAATAAAAAGAAATACAACGCAACTTACCAGCCAGCCGGAGTGGACTTGTGTAGTGGTCGGCTTACTGGACGTGTCATTCTTCCCGTAGATAGCATCGAGAATGGCTTCTTTAGTGTCATTCTTTATCGGGGCTTCAGTATTCTGTGGGAAAGTGTTATTCTCATCATTGCTTATGGTAAAATTTAAACGATTGATGTTAATGTTTTATGAGCAGTTTTGTTTCAGGGAACTCCTATTTAGTCCAGGGAAATTAGGCAATTGTTATGCCAAATGTTGAACTAATTCATAATGAAATGATACTTAATAGAATTATTGGGAATACGTTCCAAAACAACATACCAAACATCCTGATCAATCCAAGGTGAACTTTCGCCGCCATCTTGAAAATAATGGCAGCCGTTCACGGTTTTTCATGTTTTACTCATTAACCACCTGGCTCCACACATACAGTACATGTGTCGAATGTCTTAACCGTTCTGCGATGAATTCGTCAAAACCCCAGGATGATAATTCATTCTCTCACTATACACATGTGTATGCGTGTTTGTTAATGCATTGCACAGTATTTGAAATTCACTTTTGCATCGTTCCTTGTACTGAAGAAGTAATATATGTACAGCATCTCAAAAAAATATATCTACCAGGATGGCTCCGGTGACTTCCGAAATGCTACACTACATACAACTTGCGATATCCAGGGAGGGTTGATAATTCAACTTGGTATGCATGGCTCTGTGACATACTGATTATACTACATTCGGTAATTGAACATTATATCAACTACACTGAAATAAATACACATTGCATTACTTACAGTATGTTGAACTATATACCAAAGTAAATGCATGTTCCAATATCTATCATCCTTGGTCTCATATGTTTCACGCAGTGTGAACAGATACTATACTTTTTTAGATACAGTACAGTATACACGCATAAGTTTTGTTTGAATATATACAGTAAATATATTTTCATTTATATTAACTTTTATGTGCATAACTATACCGTGTAATCATGTGACAGCGCTCATTGACACGATCTGTCATCTTAGATGTGAAGTTTCTATAGCCTTCCGCTCTATGAATAAACCTAATCTTTGCATACGTTCATTTAACAGTTTAAATATAACGAAGGCAGTGTCTTCCAAAGATTATGAATACTAATTTTGTCTTCTAATTGGTGCTAGTAAGCGCATCATAAGTTGCCATGTAATTTTCATGCTATTTTTTAAAGTAATTTTGGTACTTTAACTTGGGTGTAAGCCAAAAAAAAATCATTTGCTAGGAATTCATCACAGAGTGTTATGCTTCACTTAAACTATTGTTACGACCCTCCTTTCACAGCTTACCCGGCTTCAACCACTGGGTATTAGCGGCTAGGGTCGTATGTACAGAAGCAGTAGATATCTTGTAGCGTAATTTATGTGGCCAATAGTCTAAATCGCAAGATCTTCTCTAGTCGATCGCATCGCAAAGTTAAACTTAATGATCCAGCCTTCTTAAGCTGCCATACAAAACCCCTCTTAAAACTAGGCAAGTATTTGCTTTTATAAGTTTACAAATACACGTTAAACCTTGTATTAATGAATTTGGTTTGAAAAAGTCGACTCGATATTGAGGAGTCTTGTCAAAAGTAAAGAGAGAGAGCATCATATTTGGCAACCTTGCCTAGCGAGCCTACACACATGTCACCAACAATGCAGTGATTTTCAGTCACCCTATCTTCGGATCAATTACTCACCGGAACATAGGTAAGTACCCATAATGAATAGTGGTATGGTTAAAATTTACTATACCGATAGTGGTGGATTCGGCGTCTCTTGGCTTCCATTTCCCTTGCCAACAATGACCGAGCTCCCGGAGGCCTGGCCAGCGTCTCCGATCCCTTCCGTTCCTACTTTACCACCACCAGCAGGTTTCTCAGCTGCACCAGAAGACGGTATGATCGTGAAGTTTAGGACAATAGTGGGGGCTGGAGGAGGAGGAGTAGCAGCAATAGTTGGAGTTTTTGTTGTCGCGGTAGTAGCTGTAGTGGTAGTAGTTGTAGTAGTGGTTGGTTTCTCCGTCATAATCGGTCTCTTTGTCGTGTTTTCTTGGTTCTCCGCAGGTCCCATACTGGTTTTCGTCGTAGAGTTTTCGATGTTGCTTTCAATGGTGTGAGAGGCAGGTCCTGACAGCTTATTATTCACATTCCCCTCTTGATCTGTGTTTTTGGAATTATTGCCCAGCTCCCCAGTCAGGTGCTGCAGGATTTCGCCGCGCCCAGTGGCATCAGAGCGATATTGTAGAGCTAATGGAAGAATGACAGCAAGGCTAACACCGCAGATGATCACTAAGCTTGTGATGATCGCTGTGAGATGGCAGTCCCGCTGATCGTGTGGCTTATTGGCATGCCGCGTAGTAACAAAAGCAGACTGTGAACTGCTGTCTTCATCTTGAGGTACGCTGGAGTACGTTATAGAAGCTTCTCGGAGCATGGCTACTGTTTATAAGTTACTTTTTTTTCCAAAGGAATTCAAAATTAATATCGAATTTTCTAGACTAGACAGTTATGCGATACTTACAAGTCGTGCTCACTGGAAAATCCAGCCAGGATTTATCCGAGATATGCGCTTCCGCTGATATCACCAAGGCAATACTTCCTCGAGATTCCTTTTTCACACAAATTTTCTATAAAAATATTTATTTGAGTTTGATTTAAGAAGGCTTCATAAAAATTTGTGATTCTTATGAATTCACATTCACTTTTAATGTGTGGATAGCATTATGTGGCTTCGGGGCTCAACAAGTCATGACGGATGAAAATTTGAGACATGTGACCCTATGAGACAAAAGCGACTCGCGACCACCGTGAGTATCAACTCTAGTCTCCACACAAACACACATTCAGTCTGATCCGTGACCATAGGTTCACCACACAGATTATAAGTAACAAAGTCAAGACGGATTCCCCAGTTCTCTTGCTTTTAGCAAGAAGATACAAATCTCTAATGTCTTTTTAGCTGACGTATCACCACATTTCATTTAAAAACTGTAACTCGTGGCCTTTTTCATTGTTTGTGTTATCAGTCTCTTACTTTCATTTGACCAATCAATACCTCAACCATTGCAAGCACTTGACAGGTGATCTGAGGGACAGTAGGTGGGTATCGTTCACACCCAGGCTTACTGTGGACTGACGAGCGTCGAGCGCGGCTGTGACTAGGCACCTCCACACTTGTCTATCCCAGCTTGTGAGCAGCATTGCCGGATCCTCAGACTCGTACATTATTTATTTTTCATTTAAACTACGACTCGAAAAACGCATTTAATTTTCTACGGGGAATAGCCCACCCAGGCACAGGTCATCGACCCACAACGGGGCCTGGGGAGCGAGAAAATAAGAGAAAAAAAAAAAAAGAGAAAGACTATATCAATCTACACCACGAAGATGCCGGAAAAGTGAGACAAATTGTAATAGTATGAAATCACAGAAGGCAGAGCATTCCACAGTTTGGCTGTGTGAGGAAAGGATGCACAGTCTTGTTCAAGATTCTTCGAACACTGCTGGAGACAGCTGGCAACCCAAGGCCGTTTGTTTACTATAGTACATGGTATAATATAAAACGAAACAACAAAGCCCTACTGCTAAATTAAGCAACGGGGAACTAAGTAACCAATCACTTTTACATTTATTCATAATTTTTACTACGTACTCTAGTAAACAAACGGTCTTGAGTTGCCAGCTGTCTCCACACCGCCTTGCCGGCGGTACACAGGATGTCAACTCCACCGAGAATTTCCCGTTAAAGTACAGTACCTGTAAAAGAGAGAGAGAGTAAAGCAACATAACGGCGAAGAGAAAAGGAAGAGAGATTATCAAATAAAGGAAGAGAGTTATTAAGACGAAATGACTTTGATTCCACCCTATCTAACAGTTGGACAAAAGAGCCACCCCAGATATGAAAGCATTACTCCAAGTTAGCTGCTCAGGAGTGAAGTAGCTACGGCATCTGTACAGCATTCCCAGCTTTCGGGAGGCAGCTTCAAATCAGTCTGGCATTATCTTTCTATCGTAGTTAAACAAAACAACCCAAGGTAGACGCAATCTTCCAGCTCATGGTGGGAAAAGAATACTACACTGCACAGTGAAGGGCCGGATTCAGGAGTGGGCAAAATGGGCAGCTGCCCAGGGGCCTCTACAATCTGGGGACCTCCACATGTGCGATAGTAGCTATATCAAGGCTGGTCGACCTGAAACCACATGAATGACTCCAGTCATGTCTCACTTTTGTGTGTGTGTGTGTGTGTGTGTGTGTTTTGGGAATTTGTACACCATCAATAAATATACAGTTAATTAAAAAATTCTCAAAGTTCTAATTTCCTCAGTATAACTGCATATGGCTTCAAAATTCTCCAAAGAAGCGTTCAAATTTATAAATTTTCCCGGGGGGCTTACAGCGCCCCCCGGAACACCCAGATGTTTAGGCTCGCTTCACTCGCCACCCCACCACCCTCTTGGGTAGTTATAACGAGGGAGGGGGGGGGGGCTCCACAAAGAGGCTGCCCATGGGCCTCCACATGTCTAAATCCGGCACTGGTACAGTGTACATGTTACTTGAGACTCCCAGCACTGATGAGACAAGATTTTATATAACCATACAGTATATTAATTAGAAAAGTTACAAAACTATATATATATATATATATATATATATATATATATATATATATATATATATATATATATATATATATATATACAAAAAAGTTGGTGCGGGGGGGGGGATAAAATAATTCGCAACCATTTAGCAACTTCGTATATCCTCACTTAATGAAGCAGACGTTAATTAAGCCACAACCACACTATTATAACATGTCGGGGTACCATAGCCTACCTTCTACTCTGTCACGTTTCCGGTCCCATGCTACAGCTATGATTGAGCATAACTCTTTGATAAGCTGCTGATACCATTTTACTGTTGCCCTCTGGTGACTCTGGTCACATGTAGTGATACTAAATGTCTGACTATAGAGAGCATTGGCGCTTACAGTATAGGTTATCTACTTTCATACTATAAATAAACAATAAGCAATAGATACTGTATCTAGAAAAACGACTGTGAATCACAAAACTGGAAGAATTAATAGCGTAAATTAAAGTATATTCTGAGGTGTGTTCCATCTCTAATTCCTTCACTTAAGAAAATTTGAACATAATTGTTTTTAACGCGGTTTGAAAGATTTTTTGTAGTCTGTAACTTAAACCCTAGTAAATGTCTTTGCAAAGTATATACCGCATGTCTATACACATATCCACAATTCTAACAAATAGAATAGTTTGAAAATCAGATGGCTTGTATCGATTTAGGCTACAAAGTAAATTTGAATTGCATGTTGCATTTTTGTCGCGTTAAATACGGTACAGGTACAGTATTTTGAGTTCAGAGTTTCAAACGATGATGAATCTCATCCTTTAACAGGGGAGTGTAGGTGCTGTGCGAAGCTCCTCATTGATCAGCTGTGAAGCACAAGTGTTTCAACAGGTGTTAGTCGTCACAGGTGGTCTATACTGAATTGGCTGACTCACTAGCCACAGATCATCTACTCGTAGAATTACAACTATAAAAAAAAAAAGTCCTGTAGCTATTAGGGTGTTTGTGAGCAAAAAAAGGTACCCTAAATTTATTTTTGGATTATGAAAATAAACATTTTGAAAGGTAGGAAAAATGTAGGTGGACACGCAATATCCTGTCAAATCTCTAGATATAATCACACCAACATTGTCATACCGTGAAAAGTGTGTACCTGGGGGGTCCATTCAGTTCACTCTCACAGCTCTAACATCTTTGCATTTCATCCAATAGCCTCAAAATTGGTCTGAATGTTACCAATAAGTAGGAAAACAAGTGACTAGCGTTTTTTTAAGATCCCAATTTTGGTTAGGAAGTTAATAAATGCCCAATCTCAATTACAGTAACGAAAAGTCACAAAATATGAAGTAGGAGTCTTCCACCTTGTAGAATTGTTAGGCCGAGGCATAAATTGGTATTATAATTTTTGTGCAGTAGGTGATTTGATTGTTTTCTATTCCAAGCAGCAGTTATTTTGGCAAGTTTGTTGAGATTTTCTTGTATATATTGATGTATTACCTATGTAAGAATTTTCTTGGATGCATTTATCATTTTTTCGGTAAATTTGCATTGTCACACCGTTCTGTTATAAAGTCAAAAATATATTTTTCTAGTGTCTTTGTGTGTTTAGACCGAATATGACCTTCATTTCTGGCGGAAATTAGCCGGGTTTTTTTATCAAATTTTTTTCGTTGGACGTTTTTCGAAAAAAAATCATGGCAAAATACACCAAAAAACAAAAACCTGATCTAACTGACTCGCCATATGATGGAATCCCCTATTTCTTACCTTATTGGCCTGGTTCTTGTTCGTCGTTGGATTCTGAGATTCTTACACAATGCCACATATGTCGGTCTTTGCGATACTTACATTCAGTCTTGCTCTTAGTACACTTTACTGAGGTTGGAAGAACACCATGCCATCGAAAAAATGTTATAGTTTCTTCGTTTTTTCTCCAAAAACTCGCAATCAGCTCCATATAATTTAAGTGACACCCATCGCAGACTTCCATGGTCGGAACTGAACTTGAATTTGGAAACATGAGAGACCCAAAATAAAACTTGAATTTGATTGGGCCAAATATACTGCAAATTAAACCCCAAATCATTTTAATTGGTTGCAAAAACAAAAATGCTTTTGATTGGCTGCGTGACAACAGAAAAAGTATAAGGATAACCTTAACACAAACCTGAAAAGTGCCAAATTGACCCCCCCTCACCTGGGAGATGATCACTCCACACTGTAATGCTTGGAGGACCACCACATAAGAAGGTTTCAATACTTTCGAATTAGCCTGACTGCATTCCAAGGCAGACAAGTGCCAGCGCCGGAAAGACGCTGCTGCCGCCCCCCCACCCCAACATGTGCAACATATGTGGATGGCTCTGCTGATCCCGTATCAGCCTCTTGAGTTCCCTCAGAGGTCACCAACGAAGGTGACATCCTTAATAACTCATATCATTGTATCATAGCTGGATGATCGTCATACTCGATTCTGAGTGACAGCAAATTAGTAGTAATAGGTGGGGGGTGAGGTGAGTGGTGGGTGTGTGCGTATGTGTGGTGGAAACAGAAATAAAATACATATTTAAACTTATCTATCCCTGTTAGAGCATAGGGTTCAATGAGATAGGTTCCTGGCCAGTTGGACACTCACATGTATCACCCAAAAAAACAAATCCCACAATACTGTACGGTCCTATTAACACTACAAAACAATTAAACAACACTCACCACATCATAATGAACAAGTCTGGTCATCATCACCTGTCCCCTTCGAGGCTAAGGAGACTCTTAAGGTGGAGTGGAGACATCAATCTGACTCCCACACAGCCTCTGGGGAGTCTAGAGAGGCTAGAGATGGAGTGGGGATTGGAGGTGTAACCTTTGTCCTGGCCTTAAAGATGGTGGGCAAATTGCTTGCCGGACATTTTCAAAGTTACACTGCTCACTTCAGTATCACAAAAACATGACAATAATGATGGGGACTCAATAATTTTATGAAAAACATAAGAAAATTTGATACCGGAGTCTGTAAAAGCAGTTCTAATTAATTACCTGGAAAAGTTTCCAGAGAGTTTAAGCTACACATCTCACACCAACAGACACAAGAGCAGTATTTATTGATGCAAATACCACTGTATATGTACAATATATTGTAAATAAATAAAATAATGTATACTACTACTGTACTGTCATCTTGAGCGTACAATAAGTGTACACTGTCCACTCTACTGAATGTAATACATAACTGTAATCACTTTTTTATGTCTTAACACTTGCGATGGAGGTGTGATAGGGATTACCGGTAGTGGGTCTAATGTTATTGTGCTGACCTGATGCAATGTCAGATCACCCATTGTATATGACCTTTTCTCTCATTTGCAATGTTAGATCACCCATGACCTACAAAGATGCCATAAATAAAGACGAAAGCGATGGCATTTTTGAGGCATGAGGCTGCTAGCAAATATATTTATGGCTAGCAAAAACGTGTATAAACTTTTATTCACAACATCTGCTCTACTTGTGTTAGAGAAATGAATTTGGTACCATAATGACCCCGAATAAATTCTCTACAAGACTGCTCCAATAAAAGATCCTTAAACGAAATACAATGATGGAGACTCGATTCTTTTACGAAAAAACCTAAGAAATATTGATACCGTAGTCTATAAAATCAGTTCTGATTACTAAGTTAGAAACACCATTTTCTTTGCCCAAATAATCTTGAATAGTTTATTTAAAAGTTTGGTTAAATAAAAACAGTATACAGGTTATTTAAAAAAAACCAGTAGAGATACAGGTCGTCAAATGAAGGTCCAGTAAACCATTCGCGAGGGGTAGCTTCCAAGAAATGGCACGTATTGGCAAAACCACGAATAGCGACTTATATACTACCTTAGTGCACTAATATACACCTACCGTATACTGTGAATGAGAATCTTAAGTCACCAATACTAGTAAGTCCTTGTTTAACGTTGCCCCCGGTCAGTGCCGGATTAACCATGAGGCACTTGAGGCACTGGCCTCAGGCCCCCCGACTCTAAGGGGACCCAAATCCAAACATTCTCGAAGTTAAAGCATGTAAAACATGAACTTCGTTCACCGATGACCTAGCAACGTCTCAATTTTCTGTCTCTTATGAACAATAAATGCATTATTTTGCAGAAGCTTAATATTGATGAAATCATTGATAAATTTGTGTATATTTTGTTCTTGTTATTTATATACACCTTGAGGGTACGGGGCCCCAAGTTGATCTATGCCTCAGGCCCCTATTAAGCTTAATGCGGCCCTGCCCCCCGATAACGTTGTTTTGTTATAACGTCGCTACTTTTTAGATACATCCCAATAATTCGGTTTATGTCCCAACGACTCAATATAATGTCATTTTTAGCGCTGTCAGGACTACTTTTAACAGCGCATCACCCTCTCTTGTCTTGGTGCGCTACCTCTCACTCGCAGAATGTCACAGCATCCCCAAGCGGCGTCAGTCTTCGTTAGGCTTCCACAGCGTTCGTGTGTGTTTAAGTGTTTTTGCACTTAATACTGTACTCTAACAATTAGAAATGGCTTCCAAGCGCCCATCAAGTATTACTGATGCTAGTGTTGTGAAGAAGCAACACAATACCATTAGCCTTGCTACGAAAATGGAGGTTTTAAACCTGGAGGATCCACCCGCCAGGTCTCAGTGACTCGCCACCCTCCTCCTCCTCTCCACTACCCACCACACTCGCTCCACCACCTCCGTCCATCAGTGAGTACAATACAAAATTTGTATTTAGTTTATTTCTATTTCTATACTAAATGTATTTTCTATAAAAATACCATTGAATTCCTGTACATGTAATGTATTTCATGGGGCAAAGGGAGGCTCAGGAACGTAACTCCTGTATTTTATCTATTTCTTATGGGGAAAATTGATTCCGTTAACGTTGCGGTTTTCAGGAACGGAACCACGATGTTAAGCGATGACTTACATTCGTATGTGGAAGTCTGGAGCTTGATGAAGTGGTGCACTGTACATAGGGAGACATCTGGTTACTGAAGCTTAGGGGGATCATCAGGATCACTGTTGGAAGAGGGTGATGCAGTGGTGGTTGGTGGAGAGGGTGGTAGAGAGGAGGGTAGTGGAGAGGTGGGTGGTGGAGAGGAGGGTAGTGGAGAGGTGGGTGGTGGAGAGGTGTGTGACCGGGAGGTGGAGCGTGGCCGGGAAGTAGGTGACGGGCGGCTGGGATGAGGAGGGTGGAGTGGCGGCAGTAGTAGCTGGTTTTCTCTTGAAAAACATTGCGATTGGTAGTTGTTTTTTCTTTTCTTTAAGGTTTTTAAACATTTCCTAGTAGGGAAACAATACCTGGTTGATTTCTCAAACAATCTTATGGTTCTATTCCATGGAAGGGTCATGGTCAACAATGAAATCAGCTACCATCTTCACCTATTGAAATAGTTCACCAAAATTGTTCAAGCCCCAACCTTCTTGTTGCAATTCCATAATTTCTTCTGCTTAATCTTCCTCGGCACTTTTAACCAACTCTTCCAAATCCTCTTCTGTCAGTTCCTCTCCATGCCCACCAATCAGCTCTTCCACATCTTCAGCAGCCATGTCCACAAACCCCTCACCACCCAACTGACATGCAAGACTCACAATGTCATTCACATTCTTTACTATGGACGAAAATCCCTGGAAGTTATTCACATACTCAGGCCATAAGGTTTGCCAACAAGCATTCACTGTCTCTGGTTTGAGTTCATTAAATGCTTCACTGATGTTGGTAATGCAATCCGCAATGCTGTACCGCTTCCAACAATTGCTACCATCAAGGTCAGGGTCTGCGCCCATGGCACTACGGATACGACCAAAAGAGCATTGGGTGTAATATGCCTTGAAGTGGGGTATTACACCCTGATCAAGAGGCTGAATAAAACCAGTGGTGTTAGAGGGTAGGGACACTATCTCTACACCTGGATGGCTAAACTGAAAACTTTCTGGGTGACCTGATGCATTATCTATCAATAATAATACCTAGAATTCCATCTTCTTGGAAACAAAGTGTTTTTCCACTTATGGGAAGGTGCATTTAAGGAACCAATCCAGGAATGCTTGCAGTTACCCATGTCCTTTTGTTAGACTGCCAAAAATCTGGTCCTCAATCCAAACGTTCACTATGTCCTTGTCATGAACAACCTGCGCCACTTTAACACTTGCAGGAGCACTCGCTTGAACAGAATCACGAATTGCTTGTTAATTTTTTTTTTATATACGGCACTGTGGACTCGTTTACACCAAACACCTTTTACATTTCACTCCACTAGCTGTTGTGTGATGTATTCACTACAAAATTACATTCTTTCTCTTTAGCCTCACATAGCTGGTCACAGATCTAGGAGCTGATGTTAACAGTCACTATATACTTCAAACTATAAATTTGTAAGGTATTAGCTGAGTTACCAGGCTACACCCAGGTGGAGGAAAAAGAGACAACCCACCTGCACCTCCCTACCAAATTTCAGCTTTCTATCTCAAAACTATGGATAACTCGCCTGTGGGGGTTTGTGGTTGGCCCATGTGGAGGGACAGGAGATAGCGCACGACCATCCCCAAGACACCACCCTACCAAATTTCAGCTCTTTCTCTGCAAAACTGTGGAAATGCATTAAACATAGACAGACACATACAGTGTATTTCACATACATGTACTCATGTAGATTACAATGAACTAGTTGAGAATAGTAAAAGGAGAGTTAGGTTATATTATTCTTTTATTGGTGACTAGTTACAGGAGCTACTGCTGTCTCTATATTTACACGAGATCTCCCTTGGAACCCCCACGGTAGGAGCCACAAATTGTTAGTTACACAAAACAAAATGGGCTCCTTTAGTGATAACGGGCAAGTTGTTATAACACTTGTTAAGGGTAAATTAGTGTTCAACTGCTTTATGCCTTAGATACTAATCCCAGAAAGTAGAATTCTCTTACACATTACATCTGCCGTGAAACTATTTTACTGTGCAAAGGGAGGTAAGCCAGTATGGCAATTGTGCCCAGGCCTTTTTCTTATGACTTGGTTATATTCAGAGTAATAATAAAGGAAACTGGTCATATAAGATTACTGTTGTTCCTCACTAGGAAAAATAGTTTCTCTGGCAAAGCAGTTTGATCATTACAGTATTAGTTTATGCCTAAAATGATACCTGATGAAACAACTATACAATTTAGATTACTGAAAAATACACTGGTTGTTTATGATTACAGATTGTAAATATCCCTGTGTTATCTGATTACTGCCTAATTCTCATAGAAATAAGATTTTAAATCAAGTGATATGGGGTTAACTAATATAAATCAATGTTTCTTACCCTTTTACTCCACAATACATGTCCCACGGACGGTACTTATGCACTCTCAGGAGAGCTATAAAGTTTTTAGGAGATTTACTTATCAATAACAAGACGTATTACTGTACAATGCCAGATACAATGTGGCATAATCTTGACAGTCATTACTTACATCATGAGGAATGTATTTTTATTCAGAGACACTATAAACTTGTAGCAAAACAGTATAATCTATCTAGATGCTGAGAAATACACCCTTGAACTGCACTATGCTGAGGCTATTAACACTGGAGTTAAGGCTTAGTGGTTAGCAAGTCTGTAGTTACCTTACTTATTTTAACCTCCACATATATATTCTAAAAGGACTCTATATCTTCATGGAGGATGAGATGTTCGAGTCTTTTCATACAATGAAGCCCAAAATTAGTATCTACAACAGAATCTCTATTTACAATGTAGGCACATCTTAATTGGTAGAATGTTTAAACAGCCTTCCCAATCAGATGTCAAGGTTAAAAAAAAAAATAAAAAAATAAATTACTTGCACCACAAACCTCTGCGACACAAACAGCACACTCACATTCCTACTGCAACATCAGCACTCTACCTGATGTTCAATCTAAACCTTCATTGTGTGATACTGTCAACCTGTTTGAGTGTTGAAAATATCTTTTTGTCATTTTTTCTGTTTCCAAAACTCAACTATTATTTAATAACATTAATATGAACAATCAAAGCAAGATCTTTCCATAAAACATAATGAAATTGTCTGAATCCTGGGAATATACTCACAGCTGAGTATGATTAATCAACACCAAATTTTGAATAGTTTAGGTATAAATTGAACACATTTCACATACAGCTACATTTTAAACTAATAATAGCCATCAACAAACTCAGACAGACTTCAAAATAAATATCTAATTATTAGTCTAGTATTCATTCAACTGCTAATGTGCAACACATTCAACACAATCTAGGGATTTATTTTTAAAGAATAGAATATGTACAATAAAATAAATTACAAAAGTTGAACTAAAATGTGATCCTATCTGTACTGGAGGGGAGGGACAGCCCAAGTCCAACCAGTTGCTACTGTGTGTATCCTGTTAGCACTCATCAGCCACATTTACTACAGTGACTTACCTGGTTTTCTTGAAAGAGAAATCTATTCACTACATGAATTCTAAATGGTAACATCTTGTCTAAAATATATTAAAGATTGCATTAAGTAACATCATCTGAAAGAAAGAAGGATTCCAACTTAATCTTTCCTTATACTAAACATTTAATATAACTATCCCCATCCAAAATTAAAACAAAATCTAACATGGACAACCCAATTGTACTTACACCAGTGTGTGTGGTAATAACACAGTGACTGTGATTGTTGAGTTCTAATACTAATACAGGCTTTCTTTACTAATCGGTTAATGTTTATTTGCTACTTTGAAGATACAAACAGTTAAAGTGGGATATTATTATGCATTAAAAAAACTGAAAAAGTAAACCAAATAAGACAAATCAAGAAGTCCTCTTGCAAATTTTTGAACTATAAAATACCCTATGGTCAATGCTTGCAAAGTAACAGCACTATTAATTCTTCACTTAAAGCAAAGAAATTTCTCACAGTATTCAATATTCAGACTTTAAACATAAAAAAAAAATATGCATGCTCACAACCATGGCTTGGAAGGGGAAGTATTATTGCGCAAAAAATTTATTTACCATTAACAAATCAACAAATACTAACATCTTTCATTTCATATATGCCACTTCTTTTTCATTTCTGTCAAAATGATGCAATATGAAACAAATAAATACTAAAACATGAGATGAAATGGAGAAGGTATAAATGAAAAGGACTGGCAAATACTATTAAATACTGATCAAATCATGCCCAATGTCAACATTTATCCCAAACATAAATCTTGGTCAGTTTATATTTAGATGTCACTTGCTTTCATATCTGCACAGTTCTGGATATCCATGTTCTTGGTTTTCTGCAGTCCAAAGGTGTTGAATAAGTTCATCTCACACTGGTTTACCAGTGAAAACCAAAACATAAAACCTTGAAAAGTTTAAGGTGATAAAACTTAAAATATATCACTGAAGGGGACATTCAATCACTGTTTTGCTGGGATTCTATCACAGTCTGTCTTCAGCTGTAAGGCTTAGCTAAAATCACATTAAAATTATAATGCAATATTCACACAATGATTAATGAAACATAAGTTTCTAATCACACTTGAGAAAAAAGAAAAAAAAATCACTGGGTCCCATAATCATAAAAATTATAAAATGACAAATAAAAAATATCTTACAAGAAAAGATGTAAGAGCTATTTCTCACATAGTGGGAAACAGTGATGTACAACACCAACACATCGTGACCTGCTGGTGAACTACTTGTGTTCTCTACCAACTCTAGTGGTTGGGCACAACACATGGCAATATATGTACTTCATGTATAGTGCCATGTTTGTAAGGTGTGTGAACACTAAAAAAAAAAAAAAAAAAAAAAAAAAAAAAAAAGAGGGGAAAAGGTGGGAGATTGTTTGATATAAGTGCCAATTTTTTGTGGCACTGTTCTCTAAGTTGAAAGGAATAAAGCTGAGTCTTAAGACCTGAGAAACTATTCAGCATAGTTTATTTATCCTGAGCCCCTGCTATTGTACCTCACCATCTTTTCCCTAGATTGCATCCCTCTTAATGCAACTAGCACTGTCTCATTAAGATTTATACTATCAGTCACTCTTTATATGAATGTTTTTTTTTTCAGACCACTGTTCAGGCCACAAGACCCGAGATGTTAAATGTTACACTCAACATCACATTTCACCTTATCACAAGCTCCAGGTCAAATGTTTGTTGTCACAAACCTTGTACATGACCCATCATAATATTCATTGCATGGGTCTGTTTCTATGAAGAGTCCTTCTGTCACAAATTGTGAATTGCAACATGTTTTGGCCTATGGACGTATTAGACCTCTCTGAGTGAGACCTTCAAACCGTTTGTAGGTGTAATTGATGAAGACCCAGTCCTTGTATCCTGCCTCGCCTTCCTTTACTGGTGGAGAAGCAGCTGTAAGAAATAGAAGAAAAACATTTTATTTATTTTTTCCAAACTACATAAACTTCTAAATACAAGGCATAATAAAACCATATATGATGTAAATCTTTAAAATGGTAAATACTTTTATTTATTTTGTAAAGTTGGAAACTGGATGAGGTTAAAGGAGCAGGAAAATAGTTAAATAATTTCAAAATGCATGTATACAGTGTAATCCAGGATGGCCCATGCAGATTCTTCTCCAAATGTCTCCCTACCATAGAAAATAGTTAAGAGTATATGTGTGTGTAGGTGTGTGTGTGTGTGTAGGTGTGTTAGGTGTGTGTAGGTGTGTGTGTGTGGGTAGGTGTGTGTGTGTGGGTAGGTGTGTGTGTGTGGGTAGGTGTGTGTGTGTGTGTGTATGTGTGTGTAGGTGTGTGTGTATATGTGTGTGTATGTTTGTTTGTGTGTGTGTGTGTGTGTGTGTGTGTGTGTGTGTGTGTGTACATAGACACATGCACATGCTCCCCCTCTTCCCCAAGTATCTGTAATTACTGTATTTACCATCAGCTAAAGCCTTGCTCCCAACCATGATGGACAGTCGAGAGTCTGCTGAATGCGGGTCTAAATAGATAAAGATATATTGATATACACACATATAATGTATATGTGTCAATTAAATACTAAGGAAAAATTCCCTAAAATTTTGGGAAGTAGCAAGTATTGTAAGAACTGCTTAATAGTAGCTTATCATTTAAATTTATTATCTTCGGGATTATATGAAGTGAAAATACTGTACAGTAAAATAATTATGAAACAGTAAATACTCTTCTGTCATGTCTATAAACAGAAATTCTCTTCATTATTTTTTCCCTCCTGAGTGATACAACAACAGGAAAAGCATTCAAGAAAGGGGGATATGATAATGAAGTGAGTTTAACATGGTATTTGATAGAAGGAAAGTGAAAGTAAATGATAGGAAGATAAAAATAATATAAATTTGCAAGCAGGGAGTTTGACATTGTGGATCTTCGTAAACCGTATAAAAAAGGATATCGAGTACAGTATAAGGAATTAAACTATATTTGGGAATGCAATGTAAAAACAGCATGGTGGTGAATGAAATCAACAAGAGAACAATACATGAAACATTGACTTGGAGTAAAGCAAACTGGCCAAAAATTTAAGCTTTAGTAATGCATTACCTTATGGCTGCATCTGAAGCCAACAGTATGAACAGGATAAGAAACAGTGATGTATATGGTGTTTTTGAAATGTTAGAGAATAAAAAAAAAGAGGGTGTTAACAACAATGTGATGGAGTTTAAGAAAGGGATTCTCTAAAAAGGTATGAACAAATGAGATGGGTGCGGGAGGATAAGTTGGTACAAAAGGTGAGCTGAAATAGTTTAACAGGTGCATAGGGTAAGGGATGCTGCCACACCATTGGAGGAAAAGTTGTAACAGTATGTACATGAAAACAGGAAAGGGAATGGAGAAGGTATAGGAGATATTGAGTGTAGGGCAGCCTGGAAGCTCTTCTGTTGTGACCATCCCCTCAGAGGGAAGCTCCCAATGGGAGTAAGACATCACATAAGATCATCAGCTGAATATAAACCATAATACTGCAATAAAGTTGTGTAAACAGCCAATAAAATTATTAGCTCTTTACTATTCATATGTTATTATCATGGATGCATTTTCTTGTATTTCAAATACAGTACAGTTGAACATACAAGAACTTTCTCAAGCATTATAGTTAATAGTTAAACATCAAAATACCCAGTTTCAATGCTTGAAACATCTGGTGAAGAATTCTGCATGTTACTTCAACATCACACAAGTGAAGTAGTTGCCACTTACTTACACTAACGTTACCTTTTACAATGGCCAGCATTAGAAATTACCACAAACAGGAATGCGAAACACTTATTTCTTTGTTTAATCAGAGAACCCAAACCTATCCTAACCTAGACAAATATTAGTGATTCTAAGGTAGCTTTGGTTAGGTACAGATAGGTTTTGTTCACATCAACTGAAAAGTAAGTGGTTTTGCTGCCCTGTTCAAGATAATAAATTAACATGACCATCTTACCAATATCTAAAACTCAAGAAACATCAGCAAGGATCAGTCATCCAAGTTATGCAATATAAAGAAAATTTCACAAGAGGGGTAAAGGTCCTTATGTGGCTTGTCATGACAAAATAACTAGAATTACAGCATTCCCTTAAATACTCTCTAGTAAGTTGAATAAATTAGTGACCTTCAAGTTTACACTGATCACATATTGAGAAGTGGAATAATACAGAACCAACTTACAGCAGCAAACTTAGTCCTTAAAGCACTAAATCAGGGACTTTCTGCATAGCTTTAGCATAGATATACAGCATGCCCTTAAAATTCGTGGGGGATAGGTTATCAAAATGGCTGCTAATAGCCAAATCCGTGAATAACATTTGCTGACCGGGGGTGTGTGTGTGTGTGTGTGTGTGTGTGTGTGTGTGTGTGTGTGTGTGTGTGTGTGTGGTTTCGTGTGCAAAGAAATGTATATTCTCTTTATGTGTTTGCCGTTAGGACAATTATTTCTTTTACCTGTATTATATACAGTGATATCTCCATTAGCCGGAACAATTGGTGCAAAGCACTTTCGAGAATGAGAGATTTCAGGGTAATGAGACGACTCTCTCAAAGGTGGGAAAGATCCCTCATCCCCGGAATTTTCCTGGTAATGGAAAATGTTCTTAGAAATTCCAGAAATTGCCCATTATATCATCTCTCAAACCCGGAAAAATATCCCCCATCCCCGGAAATTTCCGGGTGCTGGGTAAATTTTCTCAAAATATTTTCTGGAAAACATGCCCCTCAGAAAATCTTTCCCAAAGCTGGAATTTTCCGGAAAACTCTGGTTTTGGGAATGATTTTCAGAGAAAATTTCAATTCAGGCTATTGGAGAGTTCCGGGTTTGAGGGATTCCAGCCAACGGAGATATTACTATATATGTTTGTGGAGACACAAACACACAAAACACATACAAATAAATAATAATGGGAAAATCCTCTCACAAATAATTAAAACAAGACAACAAAATGTGAGAGTCTACTCTCAAGTCAACTTTAATAACAAAGCACAGAGTTGACTTGAGGGTACTCTCATATTTTGTATACATTATGTTGTCTTGTTTCTAATTATTTGTGAGAGGATTTTCCCATTATTATTTATTTGTATGTGTTTTGTGTGTTTGCATCTACACACACACAAACAATACAGTACAGGTAAAAGAAATTACTGTTTCTAGAATGAATGGCTCCCTGTCCCGGCCGCAATAATGCCAGCAACTTTAAAACTACCCTTAGACATTCTTGGGTACATCGAGGGTGTCATCCATGAATAATCAAGGTCCGCGAATTAAAAATCCACGAATTGCCAGGGCATGCTGTATGTAATATTATTTTCTAAGTTTCATTAAAATTCCAAGCTGATGATGAGGTATCTCCCATTCATGAGAAAATATCACAGCCATCAAACAATCAACTTGCAGACTACTTGCAGTACTGTAGTCACTGTATCTCAAAATAAATGAAATAACTACAGATGCATAGCTGGTTAATGGTAGCATTATTATCTGAATAAGACTTAATTCAGATAGTTCACCTAGTCACTTTATATTCTCCCATTAAGTGTTCCCATCTTTAGTCTACAGTATGTCAGTAGTTTTGGAAAAAATCTGGACAGCTTTGTAAAATATGCCTTTTAAAAATGAGGCTGAAATAAAAGAAGTGTCATATTGCTCTAAGGAACTACTGTAGTGCAGTACTAAAAATATAGTATAAAACCTAAAATTCAACAAAAATATTTAAACTTTAACATCTCAATATCATACATTTCCATGTACGTACATACCTACACAATAGTTGTATTCACTTTAGACTTAAAAATGTCGAGTCTTTTCCAAACACAAGTGAAAACACACTTGCCTTTACTTATAAATATTCTCACTACTAAATTACCTTTCTTTAACCATTATTTTTTAATTACATAATACATGTACAATATCTCAAAAAGTGTCTGCCAGGATGGGTCAGATTGATACGTTTATTGAGATACAAAAAAACATTAATACATCTCAAAGGGATGAAGTGACATAAGTCATCCTCACCCCAATATGGGTCAGATGACTTCTGAAATGCTACATGCAACTCATGATGTCTTGGGAGGGTTGGTATGCATGGCTCTGTGGCATACTGACCTTACTACACCTGGTAACTGAACATCCTATTGATTACACCAAAATAATATATATTTTTTTATTATTTATATTAAACTATTTACCAAGTAAATGCATGTCCCACTATCTATCATCTGTGGTCTCATAATGTTTCACATAGAGTATGGACACATACTTCTTTGAGATATTGTACAGTAGAATCCCAATTATCCAGCACCTATGGGGATTGAGAGGTGCTGGATAAAGAGTTTCTCCAGTTAGTTGAAACTCACTTTTAGGATCTCCCAATACACAGAGCTACAGGCTGAACTTGCAAATTCGTGTCTCAGAAAAACGGACTTCTTTAACACTTATTCCACTCGATATAAACAATGTGGCTTAGCGAATAAAGAAAATATAATATTAAACTATAAAATTGAAAATGAAGAACATGGGTGTGCATATGTGGAAAGTGAACGTGTGTGAAGGTGGTGGGCTATAAAAGTTGTTGAAAAATCATTACAATACTCTAATGTGGCTTAGAAATAAGGAAAATATAGTATAAAATTAGAAAATATGAAAAATGAAGAACATGAGTATGCATTTGTGATAAGTGAACCTATGTGGAGGCGGTTATAGCCAAGGCCTTGGCTATAACTACGTCGCCGACTCGCCAGCCCAGCCACCTTGTATACAGTATTGATACTTGCAATGAAACTATATAAAAGTTGTGGAAAAATCATTACAATACTATAATGTGGCTTAGAAATAAAGAAATATTATACAGTATAAAACTATAAAATAAGAAAAATGAAGAGCATCGATGTGTATATGTGGGAAGTGAATGTGTGTTGAAGAGGTGGGTTACACCGTTACAATATACACACAGCCAGCATGGCAGCCACACACGTCTGTGAGTCAGCTGGGTGACTGCCTGAACTGTGTCATTTCACCCAGAGGATGGTTTGAGTGTGGAAGGAGCAATTTTTTGTACATAAATGTGTGCTACTGTATTTTATGATATGCCATATATAGATTTTGTTTATCGTAACAATAAATAGGGCAGTTCATCCCCATTGCACGAGGTATTCAAACTTACGATTCTAGTTGATTTGGGAGGAATTTTTATTATAATTATTATTCTTTCATTTTGGTGCCAATTAGTTGCATCTACTGGTTGCCTGGATACCAAATAACTGGAATTCTACTGTACTGTCTCACCACATACTATTCCACAAAATAAAAATTTCCATGCATTTCACTCAACTTACATCATACAAAGCTCCTCATTATCTCAAACTGGGACAAAAGATGGAAGTACTACTGGAAATTTATAACAAGAAAATTTGTGTATTGAAAGTTCTTTCCTCTGATAATGTGTGAAAATTTTATCTACACATTTACCAAAAGAAAGTCTCGT